TTTTTTTTATTTTTTTTTTTTTGTGATGTTTTTGTTAGTGGTGGTGGGTTGTGGTTGGTGGGGTGGGGGGGGTGGGGTGGGGGGGGGGGGGGTAAAAATCATGTACTTGGTTTTCATGAGTTGAATATTCATTATTGGTAACATTAATTAATGCATTGATGTATCTATTTAGCCCTTGTAATTAATAATTAATAGAGCATTAATTGCAAACTAATTACCAAACCTACTGAAAGATTATATTAAGCAAAATCACATCATATTTACACAAAAATAAATAAAACAAGTACTCTTTAAACATTATCCAACCTAGAGTCACTTCAATTTTTTTTGAAAAATCAACTAATCTATTCAAAAAATGAATAATGCTTATCATTTTCTTTAATTGTTTAGTTTATCTCTAAATCAAAATTACTTAATCATATTAAAGCACCTCAATTTGTTTAAATGAGTTTGTATATCTAATATTATTAAAAAAAAAAAAAAAAAGAGGGGGTATTTGCCCCTAATTAAATGTGTTTCTAACACCCTTTTTCAAGTACATCCAAATTATTAAAATTTTATTAGTCCTCTTCATAAAATTACAAATTTTCTTATATATATCATATAAATTTTATATATTGATAAATTATTTAGTGAGAAATACAATACAATGCAGTACCGTACAATAAAATAAAACCTTCATAAGTTAGATTAATTGAATAAAGTTTTAATTTCTAGAAATCTACGAATAGATCCTACCCAATCCCTACATCAAACTATCAAAGTTACATCATGTTGAAACAACTCCTACAAATTTAGACAAGGCAAAATGATGTGTATTTGTGGGCAAATTAAATCTCAAATTGAATAAGGAGGGTTGGATTTTATCTATGAGTAAATGACATGTTTCCAACCGAGGTTTAGCAAAATCCCAAGTTGATACTTCTGATTTCATTTATTCCACATTCCCATCATTAAACTAACAGAAAATTAAAAATTACAGTAAACGGCACGTTATTACCAAACTACCCTCCCATCTTCTTCTTCTTCTCTTTCGTTGCTTCTCTCTCTCTCTCCCTCGCCACAACCACACCTTCTCTCCCTCCCGAAACCCCAAACTTGCCACCACTACCTCCCACCACCATTCCACCCATTCACCACCATCTGACTATTTTTCTAGCCGTTTTAGGCCTTTTTCGACGACTCAAGCGATTGCACCCCCTCTCGTTTTTGTCCGATTTGCCTGGTTCTGACGAAGTTGAGCCCCTTGTCACCTCCATCATCTTCCCCATAGTCCATACTCCAAAACCCCTATGTTTCTCGACACATTGACCCCTTCGATTGCCGACATCATTAGGTTTAGGGTTTGGCTATTCTTCGCCCAATTCCGGCAGTCTAAATCCAATTAGACACCATCACTACAACCAACGGCTCCCACTCTACAGAATCCCTCTATCCCAACAACCGGTTAGTCGTCGTTCACCGGTTGAGAGGTTCATGTTCTTCATCACATTTTTTGGTGAAATTGTGTTAATTTGGAGATTGTTTCGAAGAATTGATTGGAGATTTATTTTTGAGGGCTTTATGATTGGAGGTTGATAGTGTTTGCATTTGGTGTGTTTGATTGATTTATAAAATGTAACTTCACCACTCCAAAATGTAACTTTTATTTTTTTACAGAACTTCTAATTACTCATCGCAAAGGTTTAATGCATTTATGTTATTCATGATAGTCAACTCAATTTATTTGAAGATATATCTTATGGAATAATACTTAATATTATTTCATATAGGTCTGTAAACAAGTCGAGTCGCTCGCACCCGACTCAACTCGAGTCGAGCTTGAGCTTCGACTATTTCAATCAAGTCGAGCTTGAGCTTCTTAATACTCGACTCGGCTCGATTATAGCTCTAATTCCATTTTTGGGTTGCATATAGAATAATGCTTGAAGTATAAGTAGATCTAATAAGATTAATTAATGTTCTAATTCCTAACATTAAAGGCTAATTACAGTGAATTCAATAATGGTATGGACACCGAAGACCTATACTAAAATTTTGCATCAAATGACGTGTCAACTGAGTAGACGCAACCACGTAACATATTAATAAATATTTTGCAAATGAACGGCCGTCCATAAAATATGGACGTAACAAGTACAAGGTGTCATGGCTCAATTTAAAAAATATATATATATAGGTAGAAAACCTTATGGTAATATATATTAATATTAATTAATACCGTCTATGAAATAATTAGTATTGAAATATAAAAGATTAATTTCTAATTACCTAAGCTTTTCATTTGTGTGCCAAAAATAGAGGAACGTTATGATAAGTATGTTAAGTGGAAGGTTGTTTTTGGAATATATTTATAAATTAATTATTTCATAAATTTTATTTAATAAAAAAGCTTATAAAGAGATTTAATGAGACTTAAATAACATAAAATTAATGTTGGAATATATTTATAAATTAATTTAATTCATAATTTTCAAGTAGGTTTAATAAGATTAATGTTGGAATTACTAACGGCAAAAACTACGTGTAGATTTCATAATTATTTGTGAAGATTTTTAATTATTATTTATTTTTTTTTAATTTATCACCAATTTTATATTTGAATACCTAGAATGGCAGTAAATAATATATAATATATTTGTTTTGTCTAGATATGTAATTTTACTTAATTAACAAGGCAGCATATTATTGGAACTTAATTGAAGTTTTTTATTCTTTTAAATCAACATAAATCTTACATTTTTGTTATTTGATTGATTTTTCACGTAAAGGTAACACGGGTGAGTGTGGTGGGCTCGGGTCGGGTTTAATATTTGCTTTGTCTCTTGGAGATCCGAACCTTTAGTCCATGCTTCATATGAAGAACAATCGAATCACTTGGTGAAACAGGATGACCTTCCACAATTCGTACATGGTAATTCTTGATTATCACAATCGCAACCATTTTTATTTGAATGAAACTTTGTTCCTTTCCCAAACAATTTCTTGGTCCAGCGTGAAACGCCGTGAACTTGTAAGACGGTATGTGAACAATACATTGATCTTCATCTTCTCTCTTTGAAATCCACCTTTCTGGCTTGAATTCTGAACAATCTTTGCCCCATCTTTCTTCCATCCTTGCCATTGAGTAATATGAAAGCAATATCCTTTCGCTTCGATTCACACGATGACCGCTTGGAAGAGTGTCCGATTGGGCTGCAGTTTTGTGATTGATTGGTACCGGTGGGTAGAGTCTCAATGTTTCGCACGCTGCTGCATGCAGATAAACAAATTTGTTCAACTCATTTTTTCCCCAAATTCTCTCTTCTTCCCCATCTTTTCCTACATTCGCTTTTATTTCTTCAAGGATTCTTGATTCGACTGACGGGTGTCTGGCAACAAGCCAGAAAAACCAAGTGAGGCGTGAACTTACGGTGTCTCGTCCAGCTCCTATCAGATTAAATGCTACGTCTCTTAAAAATTCATCAGTTATTCTCAAACAATTTCCGCTGTTTAATCCATCTTGTATCACTTCTTCTGCTTCTTTCATAAAGGCTGTCAATAAATCAAACTCTTCCTCCTCCTTCTTGGCTTTTCTCCGGTTCAATATTTCTTTCTTCAGCGAAATGCACCCATACAAGTATGTATCCAAAACTCTCCAAGCTCTACTAAACTTCTTCTCTTCTCCAATTTGAAGCCATTTTTTAGCTTCCAATAACTCACTGGCACGATTTGCCTGCAAAAACTTCCCTCCTCCAGCACGTTATACGCTTGTTCATACTCAACATTAGGGAATCCAACACAAAGGGAAGTCGGATCAAATCCTAAAACCAATTGGCAAATATTGTCGAACGTGAAACGCTGAAACACTTCTTGTATGTCTAGAGTGATTCCCAACTTTGAGGCATGGTCAAGAACTGGGATTAAACCATTTCCCACCTTTTTGTGGATGGTTCTCACTAAAGCAGACTCGTACTTGCTGTTCTTCAACAATGAATGAGTATTTTCCTCTGAATTTTCCCATCAGCATTGAAAATACCATTTCCCAAGGCTTCGAAAATCTCCCTGAACTCAGGACCCTTGGGATAGTTAGCGAAGTTTTTGCTGCAGATATGGTGAACGTTCATTGGGTCACTGGTGATGACGAAGTCCATATTGGCGAACCATGGTCCTTTGACGTTAAATGTCCACCCAGATTGCCTCAAGCCTTGGGTGGCGTATTCATGAATACGCCTTGCGTTGTGAAGAAGCCCCGGCACCATCCCGATTACAGGCCAGTTTCTGATGGGAGAGTTCCTGTTGCAACTCCAATGCAACTTGAAAAGAAAAGAGAGGAACGCAAGAAGTATTGCTGTGTAATAAACTGTGATCGCCATTGGAGTTTTGTTGTGTTTACGATGATCAAAGTGGTTGGCCATTATTTAGCTTTTATAGAGAAAATCTACTAGAAGCAAATAATAAGTAATAACTTGAATGGTAATGGCGGGGAGGTCTCCCCCATTCCCCATCATGCCTCGGGTTTTGGGTCCATCACCCACGCCCATTACCCGAATTATTTCATCGCCAGAGGTATCTATCGCATTCTCTGAATTATTCCAGCGGTGTCGAGACGGACACGTATAAAATAAATCCCTATAATAAGACTAATTATAAAAATATATGAAATTTTAATTAAATAAACATTGTCATGCAGCATTAATTTTTAAATAAACAAAAAGTAAAATGTTTAAATAAATCATAACGAAAATACAAAAAGAAAAATACAGACAAATAATTTTTTGATGTATTATAACCCTAGTTAGTAAATACGGGTACGGCAAAAAAAAGTATGGGAATTTTACGGGCATAATACGACAAACGATAAAAAATACGTTTATAAAAATTCGGTCATAAAATTCGGATATTGAAAAAATACGGTACGGATATATACGGGTTTAATGCAGTGTATTATTAATAATACGTTTTAAATAATACGATAATATCAATCTTAGTTTTAACACTTTTATGAACTACCTAATTAAAATACTATATCAGTTGCTTCCATTTCTATGTAAGTGTTTGTTTTTAGAAGTAAACCTTCAGTTTTAATATTAAAATTATAAATCTTTAATTATATATTTAAGTTAATACGACAGAGAATCGTATATGAAAAGCTATCATTTATTTTATTTATATTATTTTTTATTAATCTAAAGTTCTAATTTTGTATTAGAAGGAGACATCATGAATTTATATAGTATTTTTAGATATAAGATATCCAAATCTAACATCATCAATCCTGAAACAAAAGATTTGAAGTTGTGTATGTCGAATTTGTTTTTAATATATTAATTAATCAATTAAAATGAATGATAATAACAAATGTAAGGAAGATCTTAAAAAGCAGAAAAGGTTTGTCGTTGAGAACCCTCCGTTAAGATCTCTCCACGTAGGCACATGGAACCGACCCCACCATCCAATTTTGCGATTCTGAAACTTCGCCAGTTCGCCCATCGTTTTGCCTTTTGCCTCTAGCCTTTGCTGCTGTTTTGTATTTCCCCCAAAATCAAAACCCACCGCCCAGCATTTCCTTGATGCAAACACATCTAAAATCTCAATCTCAATCTCAATCTCGTTCTCTTCGTTCCTGGAGTTGTGGTGGATGGCAAGAACCAACAAGTACACGTCCATCAACTTCAATCACGTGCTCGAAAAAATATCTCTCCCGCCACCAACTCAACTAGACAACCTTCCTCTTCCTCTTCTTATTCTTCGATCGCTTCTTCAAATACTAGTAACAAAGCTCTCTTACCTTCCTCCAAAAGCCATGGCCGCATGCTTCTTCGTGAATAACAAAGCTCAGTTTTTTTTTTTTTTTAAATAATTTGTGAATTATATGATTATTCATATTATACGCTTATAATTTGACGGTCCTTATAAAATACGTAAATACATATTTTACTTATAACATCATTAATATTCAAGATCATCTCAGTTAAATAAAAAATATATATTAACTGAAAATGGGTAAAATAGGAAATGTCATTGTTATTACTGTATATTTTTATTTAATAGATAAAGAGTAAACAACATGTTCCCGAGTTTTAGCAAAATTATAAGTTGATATCATTGGTTTCATTTATTTTAGGTTTCTATTTTTAAACTAACATCGTTTCCTTTATTTTAACAGTTAAAGGATAAAACAATCTTTTACTATAATTTAAAATTAAAATGTTAAAATAACCCCCTATGTCAAATTTCTCTCCACCTCTTCTTTGTCTCCACCTCTACCACCGCTGGCCAGAGATCCCGATTGAGATCATTGGTCGCATCCCACTACCATCACCACACCTAGCCACTATTGTCGGACAACAAACCCAAACACTTTGAAATTCAACCAATCAACCCCACAAATCCCAAACAAACAAATCTGATTTATCCAACACGCAATTTGTCCAAAACGAAAACAAAATCAATCAAATACAACAAATACAAACACTATTAACCTCCAATCATAAAGCTCTCAAAAATAAATCTCCAATCAATTCTCCGAAATAATCTCCAAATTAACACATTTTCACCAAAAAATGCGATGAAGAACATGAACCTCTCGACCAGTGAACGACGACTAACCGGTTGTTGGGATAGAGGGATTCTGTAGAGTGATAGTCGTTGGTTGTAGCTGTGGTGTCTAATTGGATTTAGGCTGCCGGAATTGGGCAAAGAATAGCCAAACCCTAAACCTAATGATGCCGACGATTGAAGGGGTCAATGTGTCGAGAAACATAGGGGTTTTGGAGTATGGACTAGAGGGAAGATGATGGAAGTGACAAGGGGTTCAACTTCATCGGAAACANCTGAAAATGGGTAAAATAGGAAATGTCATTGTTATTACTGTATATTTTTATTTAATAGATAAAGAGTAAACAACATGTTTCCACACGAGTTTTAGCGAAATTCTAAGTTGATATTATTGGTTTAATTTATTTTAGATTCATACTTTCAAACTAACATCGTTTCCTTTATTTTAACGGTTAAAGGGTAAAACGATTTTTTATTATAATTTGAAATTAAAATGTCAAAATAATCCCACATGTCAAATTTCTCTCCACCTCTACCACTGTTGGCCAGAGATCCCGATTGAGATTATTGGTCGCATCCCACTACCACGACCACCTAGCCACTACTGTCGAACAACAAACACAAGCACTTTGAAAATCAACCAATCAACCCCACAAATCCCAAACAAACAAATCTGATTTGCCCAACACGTGATTTGTCCAAAACCAAAACAAAATCAATCCAACACACCAAATACAAACACTATCAACCTCTAATCATAAAGCTCTCAAAAATAAATCTCCAATCAATTCTCCGAAACAATCTCCAAATTAACACATTTTCACCAAAAAATGCGATGAAGAACATGAACCTCTCGGCCAGTGAACGACGACTAACCGGTTGTTGGGATATAGAGATTCTGTAGAGTGGGAGTCGTTGGTTGTAGTGGTGGTGTCCAATTAGATTTAGGCCACCAGGATTGGGCGAAGAATAGTCAAACCCTAAACCTAACAGTGTCGGCGATTGAAGGGGTCAATGTGTCGAGAAACATAGGGGTTTTATAGGGAAGATGATGGAAGTGACAAGGGGTTCAACTTCGTTGGTAACAGGCAAATCGAGTAAAAACCAAGAGGGGGTGCAATCGCTTGATTCGCCGAAAAAGGCCTAAAACAGCTAGAAAAATAGTCAGATGGTGGTGAATGGGTGGAATGGTGGTGGGAGTTAGTGGTCGCAAGTTTGGGGTTTCGGGAGGGAGAGAAGGTATGGTTGTGGCAAAGGAGGGAGGGAGAGAGAGAGAGAGAGAAGAAGAGGAAGATGAAGAAAAAGAAGATGGGAGGGTAGTTTGGTAATAACGTGCCATTTACTGTAATTTTTAATTATCTGTTAGTTTAATGGTGAGAATGTGGAATAAATGAAATCAGAAGTATCAACTTGAGATTTTGTTAAACCTCGGGTGAGAACATGTCATTTACTCATAGATAAAATCCAACCCTCCTTATTCAATTTGAGATTTAATTTACCCCCAAATACACATCATTTTGCCTTGTCTAAATTTGTAGGAGTTGTTCCAACATGATGTAACTTTGATGTAGGGATAGGGTAGGATCTATTTGTAGATTTCTAGAAATTAAAACTTTATTCAATTAATCTAACTTATGAAGGTTTTATTTTATGTATGGTACTGTATTGTATTGTATTTCTCACTAAATAATTTATCAATATATAAAATTTATATGATGTATATAAGAAAATTTGTAATTTTATGAAGAGGACTAATAAAATTTTAATAATTTGGATGTACTTGAAAAAGGGTGTTAGAAACACATTTAATTAGGGGCTAATACCTTTTTTTTTTTTTTTTTAATAATAATAGATATACAAACTCATTTAAACAAATTGACGTGCTTTAATATGATTAAGTAATTTTGATTTAGAGATAAACTAAACAATTAAAGAAGATGATAAGCATTATTCATTTTTTGAATAGATTAGTTGATTTTTCAAAAAAAAAAATTGAAGTGACTCTAGTTTATCTTCTCTAATTGTTGGATAATGTTTAAAGAGTAATTTTTTTTATTTATTTTTGTGTAAATATTATGTGATTTTGCTTAATATAATCTTTTAGTAGGTTTGGTAATTGGTTTGCAATTAATGCTCTATTAATTATTAATTACAAGGGCTAAATAGATACATCAATGCATTAATTAATGTTGCCAATAATGAATATTCAACTTATGAAAACCAAGGGCATGATTTTTACCAATAAAGAATATAATTACAATAAACTTTCTTCTCTCATAACTTGATATAGTAGCACGTAATTGATCGGTTTATAATTAGACAGGTAAAACTTATAACGAGTAAATGAGACTCATTTGTGAGCTATTACATTATAATTGTAGAAAAAGTCCAATATAGTAATGGTCATATAAGCTTTTATTAATGGTGTAATAAGTTATGGATAATATTCGGAAAGAAAGAAAGACAAAAGGTATAAATGATGATCAAAATTTGAGAATAATTTTACGTTAAGATAATGGCGTCGTATAAATAAAATCAGTGGTCCCCTCCCTTTCATCCAATTAACTTCAACTCTGTTATAATTTTCAAAGTCGTTTGATTCTAACTCAAGTAAAGCTACTCTCCAACTGAATTCTACTTTATGATTTTAACTGATTATAATCTATCACCCAGATTTCTTTACTTTCAATATTTCTCTTATCATTCAGATAAACCCAAATTTATTAAAAATTCTTGAATCCTTAAGAGAATCTCCACAAGGATAGCTTACCATAAAGCTGAAAATTAAAAAAAAAAAAAAAAAAAATTATTAATCCCACCAAAAGCTGACAATGTTTGCCTTCTATAAAAGGAAAGTTAAAGATACAATATTCTATGGAGGGAGGAATCGTTAATGTGTTGTGTGTTTTCTCCTCATCAATTAATATTCAAAAGCAAAAGGGTGATCAAAGGAATACCAACTTGCTTCTAACTCAAACAATGGATACCCAATAAAGCTTTCATTCACTTCTTCAAGAAACCCCATATTCATTTCTTTATATTTATTTCAGCATTCTGTTACTCTGATTTTACTATCCACAAGTCAAGTGTGGAGTTTAAGTTTCCATGGAGGACTTGCTTGTGGATAGTGTTTTCAATGGTGACAGAGAAGCTCAGATTCAGGCGGCTTCTCAGTTTGGTGAATTGAGCAGTAGACAGAAGCAGAAACTGGTTGAAAGAGGCGTCATTGTTCCTCTGGTTTCGATGCTTCGTTCCCAAGATTATGAAGCCATTGAAGCTGCTCTTTTATCTTTACTTAGTCTCGCATTTGGCAGCGAAAGGTTAGTAGTCCATTCTATGATCATATTCTTTTTTGGAATAGAGTTATTCGACTTTGGTGTCATCGTGCATTTTTGTTATTGATTCTTGCTGATTTTACAGGAACAAGATCCGGATTGTAAAATCTGGGGTTGTGCCAGTGTTGTTAGAGCTCATTCAATGCGAAAGCGAGGCGCTGATTGAACTCACTGTTGCGGCTATGTTGATTCTTTCTTCTTGTGCTGCAAACAAGTTGGCAATTGCATCTTCCGGGGCCATTCAACTCATTGTTGGAATCCTGAACGGAGACCTTGGTAATAACAATGGTGGCATTAGCATTCAAGCCAAGATTGATGCTATTGCTACTCTTCATAACCTCTCAACATGCCATCAGCTTATCCCACCAATTGTTTCTTCTGGTGTGATATATCCCTTGCTTCAGATAATCCATGGTTCTGAGAAATCATCAGAGTTGGCGGAGAAGGCAATTGCTTTGCTGGAAAACATAGTTTCACTGTCAGAAAATGCACTTCAAGAGATTGCCGCTACTGGATGCGCGATTCGTGCATTCGTTGAGGTTATTGAAGAGGGGTCTCTGCAATGCAAAGAGCACGCAGTGTCAATCCTGCTAATGTTATGCCAGAGCTGCAGAGACAGATACAGAGGCTCAATCCTGAGGGAAGGTGTAATGCCTGGGCTGCTTCAGTTGAGTGTGGATGGAACTTGGAGGGCGAAAAACATGGCGAGAGAATTGTTGCTGCTTCTGAGAGATTGCTCGGATTATGGTTCGAGAAGTACACAATCAAAGCATGAGCTCATGGAGCAGATTATGCAAGAAATTGATTCCGAAGGCGAGAGGGTTGCTGAAACAACCCTGAGACTGGTTGAAGAAATGATTGCAAAACTCAGTACCAGATAATTGTTGTTTAAATATTGTAGAGAGTTTAGATCAATGTATCAGATAATAAGTCGGTTGTTCTTTGGGTTTGGGTTTGTGTAAGTAAAGATTTGGTTCGCGTTGCTCTAGCTAAATCGCTTTCAGGTCCATAAATTTTAGCAATACTGCCGCAATTTCTCATTCTGTGGAAAAAAAGCAGAAAAAGAATTAGTACCGGAGGCAACTAGGATTGCATTTAGTTTTTTAACCAAGACCAGATGATGCAAGGCTGATTGTCCAGGCAGAAAAATTTGTCAGCGAGACGAACTATAAAACACACTACACTATAACAAGCCTTATATTAACAAATTCCAGTATAAATGCGAACTTTTCCTCCTAAAATCTGTTGAAACAACATTCTAAATTGTGCAGCAAATCAGTAGAAGTAGAGAAATGGGCTCATGCTTTAGAGCCTGCTGAAAGTAGGTAATTCATGTTCATCCAATAACAAGAAGATATATTTGTACCATTCTCAACTGCCTACAGGAAACAAGGGTTCACACAAACCCACAAATTTTTTTGGAAACGCTCAACTCAAATTCCAAGAAATGGAGATGAGGTAAACAAGATAATAAAATTTTACCTTGATTTTGCTGTTGAATTTTGGGAGACCAACCTTTGAGTCCTTGAGAGCCCCATAGGTAGCTCTGAAATATTTATGGTGTTATTTATTTTAGAAAACGCAGAGAGATTTGTACACAATAATCTTGTTTCAACATGATAACCTATTCACAACACTACAGAAGGCTCTAGAGAAACCGTACTTAAGTTTTTCTAAAGCAATTTCATTTGACAACAAAAGTGTGTAAAAGCACTTATTGGCTTAAAGAAACCAAACTTATTGTTAACTCCAGAACATAAACACAATTAACACAGGCAATCTAAAATTCCCATTATTCAACTCTCAAAAGCGACTTGGATTAACAGAAGCATAACCAAGAATGGCAGGGTCTTGTTCAAATTTGGCCATGTCTTCCTTGGACAATCCCACCCATGCTTCTATTCCTTCACCATCACAAGTGTCCAAGAGCATTGCAACTTTATCATCTCTCACAGTAGTGGCAACCCATTTGGGCTTTCCCCAACCAAAATCAGCTTCAAAACAAGGAAGTTTACACCAACTAGTAATCATAAAAACCATGCTCTTAGCAAATCCTTCAGCTGCATTTCTAAAGAAATTCAAGAACTCATCACCTCCATAAACATTCCTCACAAAATTATCGTCCATCATCCCTATCGATTCGTGAACTTTTCCTTCTAAACTCTTATGGTCAAGTTTTTGCTGTATGGGACAACTTACCGTTGTTGTTGCACACAAGCTACCAATACATTGTTGTGGCAAAGGTGGATTGATTCTCTTTCTCAGATTCACAGGAATTAATGCTGCCAAAAATGAAGAAGTCAACTCATTTGTTTCTCTTGCCGCAGCAGCCATCACAGCACTCAAAATAAGCGTTGTCACAGCCTCAAACCTTGTTGGACGGTCCACGCCTTCTCCATTGCTAAGTTCTTCTCTTAAAGCAGCAATCTTTGGAGCGTCGAACAGAAAGCTTTTTGCAGTAACTTCTGTGTTCGACCAATGTTTTTTGAAGACACTCTTGGTTATGTCTAATACATCTTGTGGAGGGAAGATTGAGGTGCTATCAAAAATCACATCTTTAATATCAATGGAACCACAAGAAGCAACTGCAGCCCAGTTTTTAACAAAGTTTGCTGCAGCTGTTGCATCTGCAATAACATGACTAAAATAAACGCAGATTGCAACCCCATTGCAGCCAAAGTAACTCACCTGAACAACCACTAAAGTACTTAACTTTGCATCAAGTTTGCATGGTAGCAGCTGCTCTAGTAACTCCATCTCCGGTTGTTTAAGCACCTCAGACATGTTCCCTGCTACTTGAGCTTCAACAAATGTGACACCAGAATCATCGCAATCGATAGAAAAAGCATCTTTCACTCTCCCTGCAAAAGGGTAGTAGTGAGTTAACGTTTGTGATAGAGAGTGTTTGAGCGCTACAGAAGTTTTGATTCTATCTTCGTTTGCAGCTGAGTAAAAGAAAATGAAAGGGAAGTGCACTTCAGATGGAACTAATTGGTCCAGAAGACAAATTTTATGAGATCTTAGGTGGTCTGGGGTTGAAAAAGATGGCTTGATGATTTCTTTAGAAATGATTTGGATTTCCATTTGCAAATGTAGCTTGCAAGCAAATTGAGCTAAGCTTTCTTATGGATTTTGCTCGATGCTTGATTTAACAAGTTTATACTATGACAGAATATTATAAAAATGTGAAGACTTGATGATCAAGTCACATCAAATTACTAAGCCACATCTCATCAAAAGTGATTGATTGATCAATAATGTTATCCTTTGCAGTTTCAATAATGAAGTCAAACCCTTGAGGCCTTGATCATACATATAAGATCCTTTAAAATTCATGTTTATTCAAATAAAAAAAGGATTGAAATGTTTACTAAGATATAGTCATTTAACAATCTTTGATAACCTCATTCCCGTGTTTTGCTATTTACTTAAGTCTTGTTTAGATTTCCAACCATTTTAATATAAAAATCAAGCCAAATGTGAAAGGAAGCCAGTGTCTCTTCACTGTAACAATGGGGCATGATTAAACTTAGTTCACATAAAAAGATCAACTGTAATTTTCAAGTAACATTTAGAGTTGATTAGTTTTCAACTTGAAGCATATTTTATTCAAACTGATCTCCCATGAAAGTATGAGACAGATCACACCCACACCCATGTACAAATTACAGAGGTACAAACAGTGAGTAAAACCACATACTGTCATTCCAAAACATACTCATTATAAAAAAAAAAAAAAATTCCCATTATTCAAATCTCAAAAGGGACTTGGACTAACAGAAGAATAAGCAAGGATGCCAGGATCTTGCTCAAATTTGGCCATGTCTTCCTTGGACAATCCCATCCATACTTCTATTCCTTCACCATCGCAAGTGTCCAAGAGCATTGCAACTTTATCATCTCTCAGAATAGTGGCTACCCATTTGGGCTTTCCCCAGCCAAAATCAGCTTCATATAATGGAAGTTTACACCAACTACTATTCCAAAATAACCTGTTCTTAGATAACCCTTCAACTGCATTCTTCAAGAAATTCAAGAACTCGCCACCTCCATAAACATTCCTCACAAACTTATCATCCATCATCCTTATGGATTCGTGAACCTTTTTCGCTAAACTCTTATAGTCAATTCTCTGATTCATTGGACACATTACTGTTGTTGTTGTGCAGATGTTACCAATACATTCTTCTGGCAAAGGTGGATTCATTCTCTTTCTCAGATTCACAGGAATTGAAGCTGCCAAAAATGAAGAAGTCAACTCATTTGTTTCTCTTGCCGCAGCAGCTATCACAGCACTCAAAATAAGCGTTGACACAGCCTCAACTCTCGTTGGACAATCCAAACTTCCTACATTGCCTATTTCTTCTCTCAAAGCAGCAATCTTAGTGGCATCAAACATAAACCTTTTAGTTATAACTTCTTCATAGGAAACATGTTTTTCGCAGAGACTGTCGGTTAAGCCTAATACATCTTGCGGAGGGAAGATTGAGGTGCAATCAAAAATTAAATCTTCAACATTAATGGAACCAAAAGAAGCAACTGCAGCCCAGTTATTAACAAAGTTTGCCGCAGCTGTTGCATCAGCAACAACATGACTAAAACAAACACCAATGGCCAAGCCGCCACAGCCAAAGTAACTCACCTGAACAACCACTAAAGTACTCAACTTTTCATCCAGTTTGAATGGTAGCAGCTGCTCTAGCAAATCCATCTCCGGTTGTTTAAGCACCTCAGACATGTTCCCAGCTACTTGAGCTTCAATAAATGTGGCACCAGAATCATCACAATCAATAAAAGAACGATCTTTCAATCGCCCTGCAAAAGGGTAGTAGTGAGTCAACGTTTGTGAGAGGGAGTGTTTGAGTCCAGCGGAAGTTTCGATGGGATCTTTGGTTGCTCGTGAGTAAAAGAAAATGAAGGGGAAGTGAACATGGGGAGGAACCAGTTGCTCCAGAAGGCAAAGTTTATGAGTTCTTAAATGGCTTGGTGTTGGTGAAGATGGCTTGATGATTTCTTCAGAAACGATTTGGATTTCCATTTTTGCTAATGTTACTTGCAAGAAAATTGAGCAAAGCTTTTAATGGATTTTGCTTAAAGAAGTTTAGACTATGATTGGAAATTTCAAAACTTGAAAGAAAAGACAATATCAAGTCAAATTAAATTACTAAAGACTTGAATCAAAATTTCAATCCAATGGTGATTGATGAGCCAATAATGTTGCAGTTATAATGTTTATTAAGTAATATTCCCACTATTGCTTTGTGGGATCATGGGCAAGTTACTGCACCTGCAATACTAAAGTTTGAGTTTGATATTTACCTAAATCTTATTTTATTGTCATTAAAAAAACATTAAGCATCATGTGCCTCAGCTTTAAGCCACCCAAATTGTACACTAACTCAACATTAAAAAAGAAAATATTAAGCTAGATGTGAAAGGTTTTTTGTTTTTTGTGTGTATTTTACAAGTGAATATGAGCGCAAAGTTATAGTTTTGGTCATTTATAAGGACCACTGGTATTTTATATGCGACTGCTAGTTCTTCCAGAAAATGACCCTCGGAATTCCATTGATATTTTTAGATTGAGAAGAATAGAGAACTATGTTCACAACCAAATAAGTTAACCAATGAAGACCTTTAGACCACCCACAAGAACTGAACAAGATACCAGATCAAATAAGATTGATAAGCTTAGACAAAGAAATGTTGAAAAAAAAAAAAAAAAAAAAATTAACATGAATGAAATTCTAAAAATCTTCTACAATACATCATAAATAGATCACTCAACTGATATCACAATCCCCCTAATTAGCAATAATTTTAGATAAAAATAACAAAGCTAAACTCTGAAACAAAAACAAGCAAATTTGTTGCAACAGCATAGCAGTAATTTGAACAAGCATTATAGTAATAAATCCCAGTGTAAAGATGTACCATTTGCCCAAAAATCTATAGAAACAACATTCTAATTTCTGAAGCAATCAACAGAAGTGAAGGGATGGAGTCATGCTTCATCCTTGAACCTGCTAAAAGTAGGTTATTCGAGTCCACCCCAATAACATATATTGTATCATTCTACTAATGAACTGTGATTTGGAGGATTATTTCATCAAAACTATTGTAGTTGCCTACACAATGGGTTCACACACACCCACTCGCACATAGTTCTAAATGGATTACATGGCATTTTTCAGCCTGATCTTCTATAAACACTATAAGCAATCGCAACGGTTGCAACTGCCCCAACCACAGCAGCAGCTGTAAAGACATCCCTTTGCTCCAATGACCCCATCCAACTTGACAATTTGCTTGGCGCCTTGGTTTGTGTCCCTTTCTCATCCACACTTCCGTCCATGCAGCATGAAAAGCCATTGGCACCCTGGCAACAACCACCCACATTTTGCTTGACCTGAGTGTTGCTATCTTCATGTTTCTTGCTTTTCTTCGCTTCTTTGCCATTTGGAAGCTTCTGTTTTTCTACTTTCTGGCCTTCTTCCTTAGATGCCCCCAATTGGCCTCTGTGTATAATTATTGATTTCACATTACAATATTGCAATGAATCATGCTAAAGGTGTAAACTAAAAAAAACTTATGCAGAAAACAAAGAAAGACAATCTTTCAATAAAGTGCATATGAAACATAACTTATGCAAGGATGCTTTCTACACGTAAATTGACCAAATAAATTCCCTGGAATTAAATGTAAATCCAAAGCTTTAGATGCCGCATCTAACTCAACCAAATAACTATTTTAGGTTAGTCATAATGACTACCAAGACCAAAAAGCAAAAGTGTGCAAAATTTATATTTCATGGAAACAAATTAAAGCCGTGTCTATATAGCGTTCAGAGGGTTGACTGGTAACATGCTTCAAGGCAGTACTCAACTAACAAACAGAATCAAAGATCCTGAAAGAAAAACTAATAAATATAAATAAATCCATTACAGCAGCTTACAAGTAACTTAGCAATCAACAGTAGGAAATAAGACTAGACAGAGAGCAGAATCAATAATAGGTTCAGGCATAAACATCAAAATAAACACACACACATGAAAAAAGAAGGAGAAATAGACATATCTTTTTATATTAGCATCTTAAAGCACTTATATCCTTTAGAATATCATCCCATCTATTAGTGCTATATGATATCAAGAATACTAATATACTTGTTAACAAATGCATGGAATTATATCCAACACAAAAATTTAAAAAAAAAAAAAAAAAGTTTCACCGGTTAAAGTAATTTACAAATTGAGCACCCCCCATTCTGATAAAAATTCATGGAAACTAAAATTATCAGCAAATCCTAAAAAGATTTCATGAAAACAATAGGACAAACCTCCAAAGACGTTCTATTATTTCTCCCTTTGCAATATGTTGATCAAGCACTGCAGGCACATCATCAGGAGTAACATAGCCATACCTACAATCGAACACCAAAAACTATTCAGAGCTGTTTTATGTTGAATTTCCTAATCCTATATAATAGGAAAATTAGAGAGTAGAATCCAGATTTTACCAATGACCCATAATTTTCCCTTCTGAATCAGGACTATAGATGATCAAGTTTCCAGCATACTTGTGGCCTCCAATATGGGAGCATGGACTGACAAAGATCTGATCCTTCAGTCCTCGCGTCTCAATCTCCTCATTAAGCTTTTCAATTAGAGCCGGGCCACAAACACCACATCTCTTATCTCGACTACCATGAGCACATACAAACACATATGATCCAGTCAATGTCTCCTGCACTCCAGAAGCCCATGGTTTCCCATTGACAAGAACATCATCAACAAAGCTTTCTACATCTGAGTCCTTCAAACCCCTTCAGCAGCAAATCCATCACAATTTCAGAATCATCAAAACCATTTCAAGTTACATGTATCACAGCAAGTCTAAGAAAGAAAGATTCTAATAAACTAAAATCAAATTTAAATATTAAAATTAGAAGAAAAAAAATTAAGCAGTAACTTACTTGTATTTGACCATTTCCGGGAAAATCAACAAATCTCCGTCACTCCCTTCGCCTCCTCCACATATCGTAACCTTTGTCTATCAAACCAAAGCAAATCAAATAAATCAATTCATACATTCAAAAAGCTCAAAAAACGAAAGCAAAATCCAAAAATGACAACCAACGAACCTTGACGGTGATGTCGTTTTTGCGAGCTTTGATAGCGGAGGAAAGCAGTTTAGGGAGGGGATCGACTTCGGACTCCTCGACACGCGGGAGCCACGCATCTGGTCCTTTGTAAGAGAGGAACACGTGGCGGTCGTAGGAATCCACGGTCCCCGCCAAGTTGGCCCTGTACATTTCCTCCCGCGAGAACCCGAACTTCGCGTCATCTTCGGCCGAGATCGTCGACATGTTGCTCACAGCGCTAGTCTTCCGAACTCGGACAATGAGTGGACTTGGACTCGGATTCAGGTGAAGTGAGTAGTAGAGAAGAGAAACAGTCGGCTTTCTTGGAAAAAAATGAAGAAGATTGTTGTGATGAGCAGCAGATATGAGAGAGCGAGTGGGGTGCGCAATGCGCATAAGGAAAGGCAGCGTGTGTTATTATCTATTGGTGCGCTTCTGGGAAGATGATAAAAGGCGCAGATAGAGAGTGGAGAACACGCGCCTGTGGGAGGTGCTGGGAACACGAAATTCGGGCAAAAGAGGTAATATTCGTGTGTATAAAGTACATAAAAAATAAATTAATAATTGATTATTATAATTAATAAAATCAGGAACTAAACGATATCAATGCCGGATCCACTTACGTTGGGGAAATTACAAGAGAAGATATTTCGTGTACGCCAGCCAACGAAGAGGAAATGAGCAATGGGGCCACATTTCTCCTCTTGCTTAAGAGCGTGGTCTAAAGCAAGCGCGTGAATTGATTAAGAATAAATATTGCGAAAAGGGACACGTAGGTTAAAGTGATGGCGAGCTCACACAAAACAGGCGTCCAGAATTGTGGGTATAGCGGCAGTACTTCGCCACGTGGAGAAAAACTATTGGAAGAAGGAAAATTAATCAAACGAAGTTAGCTGAGAAACGTATCAACGATGATGAATTACTGTTGGAACGAGCTGACAGGCGGTGATAATAGTCAACCCCGTGTTTAAAGGATCATAACTTAGATTCATTAATCAGTAATTAATATTTAATCTTTCTTTAAATTAAAAATGGTCTGAAAATCAAATAATTGGGAATGGCCTGCGCTTGGTGGTGGATTGAATTGGTGACGTAAGCTCTGACGAATGAATTGATGTAAATGGTGGGCCTTGTGATGGGCTTGCTTTGAAATGCAACCAACTGTTTTTTTTTTTTCAAGCAGACCACTAAATCCTCTAATTCTTTCAAATTTTACCATTTACTTTTTACTACGATAAAAATTGTATACTCTTTGGTTAATGTTTGGAATTTGATGGTCAACGATTCAAGAATTTTATTGTTGTGTAATGTGTATTGATAATGTGTTAGAAGAAAAAGGAACCCATCAAAGGAATAGGGGCTATTCCGTGAAGGTTTCAACTTTCAACCAGGTGACCTCATCCATGAATAAGCTTTAGAATTCCAAATTGGAATATATTTTGATTTCAAGATAACTCAAGAATCATGCCTTGAATATAATTCATTAATCAACATCTTAATATTTTATTAACAAAAACAAAGATATGTTCTACATACTTTTCCATATTCTTAGTCAATTTTGAGAATATTATGCACCTGAATATGCACATGATAAATATAAAACCCAGCTAAAATGAAATTTGATTATTTCACACCCTTCAAAGTTTAGGGGCAAGTTTTTATCATTCGAATACTATAGTAGTTTATGTTTAAATAGATTGATCCAATTTTTAGATTTTATCCCATAACTTTTTTTTTTTTTTTTTAATGAAAATGGATTGGTGTTATGTTTGGGCCTGATTTCTATACCAGAGGCCCATGTTGCAAAGCAGCGGCAAATTGAGAATGCACATCGTCTCTGAATTGTGCAACCACAGGTTTAGATGAGATTAAAGTACTTGACCGGTAATATTACCTGTAAAACTCGATGGATTTGATCAGTAACAAGAATTGTACTGAACTGGAGGCATAGTTTAAGGTTGCCAATAAGTGTACCTTTATGAAGACTGTAAAGCATGGTTCTAATTTAAATGAAGATAATTTTCAACACTAAAACTATAAGGAGGCAATAGGTTTACAGGAAAGAAGAACAATTTCATTTCATTTTCATATTCGTTTCAATGCATTTGCATTTCCTCAGAGCTGAGCTGTTTTTCATGCTTTTCAAAGGAGCAGTTACATGTGCTTTTATCAAAGGAACTACAAATTAGCATCGCCCTTCCAATGGAAAAGGAGCCATTGAAGCACGACAGGAATGAGGTGATGAAGAATTCTGGCTAACATAAAGGAAACAATCAGAAAAATCAAAAGAAATCAATCTCTAAATAATTACCTGAAGATTTCACATCTACACCTGGCACCTTGTCGTTTGGTTGTGCTCTTGGCACATCGGTTTTCACAGGAATATCCAGCATGACTGGTTTTGGCACATCTGGTGGATTTGTACATCGAATGAGTGCCCAATTCACACTTTGAAAGAATGGATGCCGTTTTACTTCTGTAGCCCCACGTCTATAAGCAAGACGATGTTGTGGTTCTTTTACAAGCAATCCTCTGATCAAGTCCCGAGCAGCAAAGCTCACACTAGGTGACTCGGGAAATCTCAATGGCTGGCCAACCACATTAAAAAGAGTAGCACGGTTCCCAGCCCCCTTGAAAGGAGTTTTACCAAATAAAAGCTCATAGAGAAAGATCCCAAATGTCCACCAATCTACAGCACTTCCGTGGCCTTCACCTTTAATTATTTCAGGTGCCAAGTATTCATGTGTACCTACAAAAGACATTGATCGGGCACTAGTGGGTTCAGCAATGAGCTCAGGGAGAGGGCTCACTTGATTTTGAATTTCATTCTTCGGTTTGGCTTTTTTTTCTTTCTTGTTCTTGCCCGAAAAGAATCGAGGCGCAAAACATGAAGGTTGGATGCAATCCGGCTGCATTACACAAGTTGGTTCAATGCAAGCAGGTTGAACACAGTATGCTGAATTCTTTGACTCCAAGGTGGAGTTTGAGGACTTCACCAGAGTCGGGGAGACTGTACATCTTAGAGAGAGGTCAAAATCAGAAAGCATTATATGCCCATCTTCCCTCACCAAGACATTCTCTGGCTTAAGGTCTCTGTAAATAATCCCAAGCATGTGCAAGTACTCCAAAGCAAGAAGAACTTCCGCCACATAAAACCTGAAGAGTGAAAGAGCATATTAATAAAAATAATTAATATTTAGCCTGATTATTCTCTGCATCATTTTTATGAAACTGCAGTCTTCATCTTCAAAAATGACATTTTTTGCATTGTTAATGCATATTAATCTTCTACAAGCACGGCCCAAAAATTTTAAGAGATTTAATATCCTACCAAAATCAGTGATATTTTTACTTACTGTTCAATTCTAGTCAGATGTTAATGATACAATAAAACAAGGTTTTAAACCCATTCTTAGTTAGGCTTTGCCAACTTATTATCACTCTTGGATAGCTAAAACTGATATAAACAAAGTTCTTTTCACTGGGTAAAAACAGGACAATTACAAGAAGAAAAGCAAAAAAGCAAAGCAAATAGAAATGCAGATAAGCTTTACTACATACTACATAGATTTAGTAATCAAAGCCCAAAAGGTACTATTGCAGGCACCCAAGCTCCCCCTACATTGGCCAAAAGGAAGTACATAAGTTGGGCAAACTTGTTGCTTAGTTTTACTAGAGCATTTCTTGATGGCATGCTTTGCTAAACATATGGCTAGTTTGACTAAAACTTGAAATTTTTACATAAAAATGAATTAGCAGACACACATATAATGACCAGACTAAATAAATATAACAACTTCACTTGAGGCATTTAAATTATCAAGTTAAAAAGGAATTTTACCAGTTTTAAAGCTACACTTATCTCAAATTTCAAATGTTTACTTTCCTAAAATACAAAGTTCTCATCTCTTTAGGAGAAGGAGAAAATAATTACTTTACCTGGCTGCATGCTCTGGAAAATACTTCCCTGGCTGCCTTTGCCTGAGTGCATGCAAATCTCCCCCAGGGCAGAATTCCATCACCAAAAAAGAGAATTTATCTGTCTCAAAGTGTGTATATAAAGTGGGTAGAAATGGATGATCCAGAGATTGCAGTATTTCTCTCTCTGTCTGAGCTCTAAGGAGCTTCTTCCTGCTCGCCAAAGCGGCTTTATCCATAACCTTCACGGCAAAATAGCTTTTAGTGCCCATTAACTCTGATAGATATACACTGCCTATATCTCCACATCCTAGTCTCCTCAATAATTTGAAGTGATTCAAACCCATTGCCCCCTCATGCGATCGGACTGCTTGAATTGCTTCCCATCTTGTATCATTTGCCTTATGAGGTTTGTAAACAGCACTGCTTAAACTACTTGAGCTGCTCTCATCACTAACATCACTGCCAGTGCTACCTCTGTAGATGCTCGTCTTCCTGCTCTCAATATAATCACATGATTGACTCACTTCACCACTTTCAGCAGACTTTGCAATGCTACTTGCACATTCACTGACTTCTGTGTTGGTGAAACTTTGTTTGGCTTCTGCATACAAGGTAGCGGTGTACATACTATTTGTAGGACTTGTACAGAAGCTTATTGCTGATTGGGATGTTAAGTTGTCTTCCAAAAGCACATCAACTCCTTTACATGAGCCTGAGACAATATTTTCAGATTGAAGCGATCCAATGGAATTGCTATTCTCAGGATTATTAACCAGATTCTTACCACTTGATTTAGATTCCACTGACAAAACCCTTGTCTGAGATGAAGTTTCCACTGTTTTATCAAGAACATTAACTGTGCCCACATATTCGAGTTTCCCCTTATTCAAATCATAGAAGTGCTTCGCCGAATTAGGTAATTCTACGAGCCGCTGATCATCTTGGGCCATTTTGTAGACTTTTTTTTTATTGATTACAGAGCCATTTACATTGCAAACCGACTTTGAGCCATGATTGTTAGCAGATGCATAGGATGCGGGAGAAACACCTTCATTTCTAGATTGTTTCGGAGAAGGAGGTCGCGAGCTGCGAGGGCCACTCGATGTGGAAGGATGTTTGCTGCCTACCGAAGATGGCGAATTTTGGGTCTTTAATGAAGAAATAGCACCATTAGCAAGTGACTCCATTGAGCAACTCAACACCAGTCACCAGCTCTGCACAACAGAAATCCAACCAAGCACATAGATGATAAGTGATAACTCCAATGCTTATGCCATTAATAACGAATATTAAAACATTAATGGCATACTAAAAATAACATTAAAGCCAAGAAGTATGGCAAATTTAAATTTACAATAACTAAGCTATTTGCCACAAAATACATGAATTGGAACAACTTAGGAGGCAAATTCAAACAAGACAAAATCCAGGGAATCTCATTAGAGATACAATCACAAGAATAAAAAAATACACAAATATCACGGAGAAAACAAGATATCGATATAGCTAAGATAACACGCAAATAAATACATAACATAAAAAGTAATTCACAATCAAAGGAACGCCAACTCTTGAAGCATAGTAAAGGCTAAAAAGACCCCCCATAACCCCATTGCTTTGTCCATTAAAACTAAGCAACCAAAAAGAAGCCCTTCAAGAACCAAAATGCCCCGTTTTTTAGCCCAGAAAACGCAGGAAAATAAAAAGAAAGTAAAAGAAAACAAAAACCCAACTTTAATTTCCTTTAATACAAGTTGTAAAAGCAGATAAATGAAAAAGCAGTTAAAAAAACATTAAAAGAAAGAAAGGAAAGCAGGAGGGAGAGTACCTGATCATAGAAGAGAGAAGAAGAGAATGCAATGGTTCATGAAGTGGGGGAAAAAAGTGAAGTAACTTTGGGTGAAGAGTTGTGGGAAGAGGTGTTGAGTTCAGATCGGATCGAAAGAAAGAAAGAGAGCACAGAGAGAGAGAGAGAGAATGAATAATGATAATGATAAAGAGAGAGAATGAGTGGGAGAGTGAGTGAACGAGTTAGTTTTTGGTTTGTGAAAAGGTTTTTCAGTTATTGTTTTCGTCGGTTAATGGCGAAAGTAAAATATGCCATTTATCAAGATCGCCATTAACAATGAGAAGAATACACCAAACCAACTTCCCAAGCAAAACCAAATTATTAAATTAAAGAAATAAGAAATTCTTCTTTAAAATTAACTTAATTATCACGTTATTTATATGCTTATTCACGTTATTCCATCGGTTCTGTTGACTTTGATTAACATTATAATTTTTATACGAGTAAATGACATGTTCCCACCCAAGGTTTGACGAAATCTCAAGTTAGTCCTATTAGTTCCATTTATTACAGATTCCCACCCTTAAAGTGACGAAAAAACGTTTAATGTAACGGTAAAGGGGTAAATTGATCATTTTTCATGGGAGGCGCACGTTAGCAGACCACCGCCTCTAACAGTCTTCCGGCGCACGTTAGCATCTGTCGTTCCCCGACGTTTTTCGCTCTTTTTCGGCGATTCTTCCACCCAAAATCACCCTTGTCACCACCATTTGAACCCTCATCCTCCCCTCTACAAAACCATACCATTCACAACCCCTCATCACTCACCGATCTCCGGCCACGGCAACGAAAAACAGCTGATGAACACGAACTCTCGGCCGACGAATGACGAGGAAACGGTTGCTGGAGACATAGGGGTTTTATAGATTTTGGGACGGTGGTTGCATTGGTGGTGTCCAATTGGATTTTCATCGCCGGAATCGACCGGAATCCGGTGAAGAACACCGAAACCCTAAGCCTAACGGTGCCGGCGATTGGAGGGGCAAATGAGTCGGGAACCAAAGGGGTTTTGGACGAAGGACTACGGGGAAGGTGATGGAGGTGACCAGGGGGTTCGACATTTTCGGAAACAGCCCAGATCGGGCTGTTTCCGGCGAGGATATATAGTGACCGAGGGTGTTTTTGATATAATTTGAAAATAAAATGGTAAGTTTTGTAATTCTACTAATTTAGGGGTTAAAACATAATTTATTAATTTAGGGTTAAGGGCATTATGGTAATTGCACCCTCTAAACCCTAAAAATTCATAACACTGTTACTTTAAGGGTAAAAATATGGAATAAATGAAACCAGTTACGTCAAACCTTGGGTGGGAATATGTTGTTTACTCTTTTTATAATTATCATGTTTTATGAATATTACACCTCATTTTATTGATAAAATTGGGCGCCCCCGGCCCCTTGTGACCACTCTTTGCCTCTTTTATTAATTTTGTTTGGTTTTCTTCAAACATTTAATCTTAATTAATTTATATCACATGCATCCACTACCCCCCAGGGGTGAAATAGAGTGGAGTTTAGTATTTGGATACTCAAACTCGACTCGATTGCTGATATCGAGTTCAAGCTTGAATTTGGTCAAGTTTGATTAATCAAGTACGAACTTGAATTCGATACCTAAAAGTCGAATTCGAGTTTATAAATAAGAAAATTTATATGAATTAATGATATATACAAGTGACTGTAATTTAAAAAAGATTTATTAATATACTTGAGTCTTTCTCTGTCTTTTTTTACTTCAGGATTTATAAATTAACGACCGAAGACTCACCTTTAATCTATCATAAGACTGTATATAAAGATACACACGTGTTCTTTCTCCTCGACAAATTTAATATATATGCTAATACAATAAGTGATTCTTTTATAAGAATTTTGAATGGAAGGGAAAAAAATTGTCCTCATTTAAATTGTGTGATACATGTCACTGATTTTCTGATATTTTCATGGAAGAAAGCAGAGGCTCTTGCATGTATCGCAATTCACAATGTCATCTTTTTTTTTTTTTCCCTTTCCAATATCTCTATCTCACATTACTCAATAAATATTATATTAATATTAATTACTACACTCATAACTAAATATTCTTGATTTTAGTTTATGATTTATATTGTGGCTTTACCAATAAATTTATAACAAAATGTAACATTAACCATTTCAAAAATTACACATATAACCTATCAACCTTATACTAGAGAAGAAAAAAAAAATATTTACAATTATATCTTATAACAAAAATTTAAGATATTAACAGATCTTAGATTGATATGAATCTAATTGTATGGATTAATTTAAGTTAATTTATCGTCAAGGTAATAAGACGCACCAAATTCACGGGAGACAAAGTGGATTAACATTTTTTTTAATTTGATAAAATTAATAGTGTAACCACATGGGATTAACTCAACTACACCAGTAACCCTCACATGCGCGCACGTGAACCCTCAATCTAAGCACGTGGACGGCTGTCACACTCATGCTATATGCTAAGTTGCTAACCCTCTCCCTCCGCCTCGTACTGGACCGGAAGGGACATAATCGTCATTTAATAGGACAAAAAAGCCGTTTTCAATCAAGGAAGCGTCATTCTGATACGAACACATTTGGGGTCCATCTGCCACGCTGGCAGGTTCCATGGGACCCACTAAAAAGTGTTAGGGGTCATGTAGGGCAGATTGAAGGCAAGCGGTTGTTGAGCAGTCCATTTATTTCAATTCTTAAAACACTCAATAATGTAATTTTTATTTTTATAATATTATTAAGTTGATTTTTTTTCTTTATTATTTAAAAATATTGTTATATCAATTTATAATAGTAAAAAGAAAAAGATAAATATTGATTCGATAACATTATGAAGGGAAATGATTGGAATGAAATAGGGAGAATGTATGATAGTTGTAGGACAAGGGTGTGTCATCGATCAAATAAAACATGTCTCAACAATCATTTTCCCAGTGCAGTGTATTGAATCATTCTCTTTCTCTCCCTCCATCCATCCATCCATCATTCATGATTGTGATTTATGATTTGTTCATAACCCCAATAACTGTCTCCCTGTGATCCCCTGTGCTCAACTCCGCATTAAGAAAAATGCACCAAAATTCTAACACTGTCTTGGTGCCCTAAAATGATTTGGAGAGATCTGAACAAGACAAGATTAATTGTGGATAAGTTTATGTCTCTTTGGCTGAGCACAGAGGCAGGAAGGGTTTTGGGGCAGGGATGACAGGTGGGTGGGGTGCAGAGTTATGAGGTTATTGACCATAATAATATTATTTGGGTAGACAGAGATTTACAGAAATGCAATTAAGATTCATCACTAATATGATTTCAGAATCACACTAGGGGATGCAATTTGGCTCATACCCTAGTTGGATCTCCACTTTGCCAACTGGGGAAGAAGCATCCTCAGAAGAGCCTGTGTTAAAATTGAGGATGAGAAATCAGTTCAAAGATTAATCACCACAACACAAATGGATGCACTATTTCTTAGATTGAATGAAATGTTATTCATCAACAGTATCACGATTGTTCTAATAAGTTTTCGAGATATAAGTTCAAGATATATCTGCCAGTGGAAAGAACGTCAAGCCTCTTCTCGCTAGGTTCATACTTCCCTTTGCGAAGCCGGTACCGGTGAGTAACAGCTGAAACAGTATAAGTTCGGCCTTCGATTGTCACGCTCTCTCCACATTGCAAGTTCTGTCACATAAAAAAATGAAGAAAATAAAAAAAAATAAGAAGAGATACAACAAAACAAACATACCCCAGTAGCCATATCATGTTCTGATGTTTCCACTTTGGGAAGTTAGGCTGGACCTACCGATCCCCATGAATGAATCTACAGAGTAATATTGACATGATGACAGATACACAATAAAAGATTTTTGCACTAGGTGTAGAAAGAATTGTGGAAATTGTCTAACACCAGTTGCTTTTTTCCGAACTCAGGTGGAAGCACAACTGACATTTACAACTCATATTTCAATGCTTCATAATTCACAACTCCTACAGGAACCATATCAATTTCAACAATGATATATTTAAATAACAAAGAAAGAGACCAACATATTTTAGTGACTGCATCCATAATGTAATCTGAAAACAATAGTGTTCTGTTGTTATCTATATCCCAATCAATATGCTGTCTTCAATTATTTCACCAAGCAGCTCAGCATAGATTAGCAAGCAAAAAGTATGTTGCAGATACAAATCCTTGTCTCTGTCACCATCTCTGACACTTCAGAGCAGCTTTCTACATGAAAATATGACCTTCAACCTTAAATTTTGAAGACCACTCATGCATTTCTATTAGTAAATGTTTCATCTACATATTCCTCGACTTTTTACCTCTGTTAAACTGAAAGCATGCTGCATGTAGGATAAAATAGAGGAGGGGATGATTAGGGCTCGAAGATCACATTACATATTCCCTCTCTACATCTCACATTGCAAATCGACCATCTATTACTTGCTATTAATTAGTTGTGTGAAACATGTTTCTCTTTATAATTCTAAGTCCTTTTCCCCCAAATTTGTTAAAATAACCATGTTACAACCGAACAATGTTTTTCTCCACTCTATTAATGCTTTGAAATATCCATGAATGAATTTAAGAAATTAACATACGTACAATTCACAAGATCATGTCTCTGTTATTACTTGTTCACCATGTTCTACAATTTTCCAAACAAATAGCACACTCAATTGGATAGCTAATTTTCATCTTTTCATTCAAAGAGCTCATGTAACGCCTGGTCCAGACATGACCATGATCATCTAGCTAATCAATCCCTCTGTGAAAAATGTTCATACAGTAGCAGCATTTTCATCATTAGGGTATTTATGAGACAAAACTTGCCTCATATCCCACAACATAACTTGAATACAGGCAAATCATAAATCGAAATACATTGACAACCAATCATTTCGAGGAGTTTATATAAATTAATCCGAAGGGAAAAGTTTCAAACAAAATTCAGTCGATTTTAAGAGGTGTTTGATGAATTTAAAAATCACATGTAAAATCCAAATATATACAGTTCATGGTTCAATATCTATATTTCATAATTAAGCAGCACTGCTATAAATAAACAACCAAAGTAAAACAGTGAGAAACACAAGACAACTAAATAAATCATAAAAATGGATTAGAGGAGAGAAGTTACAGAAGGGAAGCAACGAACGCCAAGGCTCTTGGGAGGAGGTGTAATTTCGATGACTTTATAAGGGTGAATGTTATGATCTCTACTTCTATCTTTCCTTCTGCAAATCACATGAACTGCTTGTGTCTGCTAATCAATAAATAATGAAACAAACATCCAGCATCATTCACAATAATAACTAACCATTAATCATTTCATGGTAACGGAAGTTTTCTACCTTTTGATACGTGCCCACGATTGGTGTCACCAATGCCATTAATTTGGTTTGCGGGTTATCTTCTATTTTCTACGTCAAATGGAGAGAAGAGAGAAGGGAAACCAGGAAAAAGTTTTCTTTTACTTTGATTCTGAGTTTCTGACACGTATTCATTTAATGACCCACCAGATATTTTCAGAATATGTGGTTCTTACATGCCAATTCTTTTTTAACCTTTTGCTCTTTGTTAAAAGTTCAATTGATTTTACAGCCCAAAACACAAAAGTTAAAAAGAATCCGACGGGAAATATAGCTGAGGGATTAACTTTTGTTTTCTCACCGAAAACAATCTATTAGTCTCTCTTCATCTTTGATTAAGATACAAATAAATCTTTTAATTTTTTTTAATTACAAGAAAGTGAATAAAATTTATCTTTTCCTTTTATAAGGTAGGAAAACAAAGTTCATCTGAACTTCAGTTTTATAAGTCATTCCACTATAGTTTCAGTTTACACTATCCCAAATATTCCAATAAACCAATGGAAAATGTTATGCGAATCTTGGACAATGGAAATCCAGATGAAACTGAAACAAGGAATCACCAAGATATTGCCAGCAGAAAAGAAAATTAACGCCAGTCAATGGGTCAGTGCAATATCATCTGCTACGATCACAATTATATGAATCAAACACAGTTTGTCTAGGGACTAGGATCGATCTTGTCTTCATTCAAAAATTCAACTTAAAGCAGCAAATTAATCAGTTGACTTGAACACTTGAGGTCTGAAAATGAAATCAGTGTGTAGTGAGAACTGGATGCCAAGTCTTAGATTGAACATATAATATAACAAAATCAGTTGGTAATATAAATAATTGCAATTCATGCCTGCAGGTATTCTTTTCAGAACCCAGAAAGTACATCAATGTTCATCAAATTCCAAGGGGGGAAAAAAAACATTCAGATCTCTTACATCTCAAAAGTTCTGGTAAAGGGATGGGTAAATTGATCACTGGATTTTTCAGTGGTAAACACAAATCCTCCTCAAATAAAATATGGGGGAGGGGCACGTGAAGCATAAAAGTAGTAGCATTGTCTTCCCACCAAGTGAAAAATACGATTAGTTTGGTGCTCAATGCTAAAAACTGATACGATCAGGCATAGCGCTACACTTCATAGCCCAAAAGTTCTTTGTCCAATGACCTTCTACCTCCCGTAAGGGTGATACCTACTGCTCCCGGCACCACCATATCCCCCTCTGCTTCCAAAGAAGGAGCCCCCACCACTACTTCCATAACCACCCCCAAGGCCTACGTCATAGCCACTTGGCCCACTTCCATAGCCACCACCGGCACCATCACCACCAACACCAGCACCATATCCTCCATAACTCTCACCAGGGCCACCATAATCACCTGCCAGATCATAACCTCTATTAAAGCCTCCCCCATAGCGACCTGAGTATCCAAGGGAGGGCTCTCCCCTATAAGCACCCAGTCCACCACCATATCCTCCATATCCACCATATTCACCTGCACCGTATCCTCCATAAGAACCAGCTCTAACTCCATATGCCCCACCTGACCTATAACCACCACTCCCGCCACCACTGAAGGCTCCACCTCCAAATCCACCATAAGCATCCCCAAATCCACTACCATATGCAGGCTTAGAATTATTGTATCGTCTGTAGGAGGGTTGTGGTGGGTTTGGTTTCTTTGGCTCTGCCTTCTTGATCTCCACCTACAATAAAAGAGAAATATGGACATACATTAAAGTGCTTTTAAGTTACTTAAACAAAATAAACTTATAATGCTTCTTAACTATCTGAAACTGTGCTCAGAAGAAAAAGAAGTAGATCTACATCCCAATTGGTAATTACAAGGTTGGAAACATATGATGTATTATTACCTCTATAGGCTGAAAGAAAAAAATATCAAGAAAGTCAAGTAATCCTGATAAATAATTCAACTAGTGGTATTATATAAGCTACTCAAGACATCCTTGAGAACTGCTATGGAAATAGTAAGAGATACAAGGGTTTCATATGTATCTTCAGATGCAGAATAAGGGCTTTGTCAAGTTACTAAAATGAAGCAGGCTTTCATACATGCATAGTGCTGCACCATGCAATGGATGCTCAAATTTCCAAATCATAGGTGCTCAAACAACAAGTAATCTGCAACTCTACACATTTAAATTCAAGCAGAAAGGTGTAATTCAACCATAAGTGACCCTTTCTTTAGAGATGCGGCAAATCTTTTAATGAACAAAAAAATTGGGGTACAGTTTGACAGAATTCAAGATGAAGCACACAAAAATAATCTTAAGGGAATTCACTGCATAAAATCATGTGAGAATATGGTCAAGACAAGTGAAAAAGCATGAACCTCTTATTGGAAGTTGTATTCCCTCAACTAGACATGTATACAATTTTCCTATAGCCTGATTAAGAGAATAGTTTACTGGTTCTTTAGAAGTTCTGAAAGAGGTTCCTTGAGAAGAGTGTGCAAAAATTCATAACTAAGAAAGGTGATCCCATCAACATAATGCCAATAAATAATTCATAACTAATCATTTTATCACTAACTCGTCATCTATCCATCCTTATGAAGTCAATAGAGACATCATATTTAATATCAAATAACGAATACAGGTTAACAGTAGCAAGCAGTATGCTCACCTGAGAACCAGCAAGCTCAAGTTTGTTGCCCTTGGCCAAGAGATCATCAACTGCTTCTTCTGTTTCAAAAGTGATAAATCCGAAACCACGCGAACGATTGGTGGAATGATCCCGCATGATTTGGTGCTCTTGGACCTCTCCATATTGCATAAAGAAGTCCTTGAATTCATCTGCCCATTTGCAATGAATAGATTAATCTCAATAATTAATATCTTAACAAGAGACAGTGCAAAGAACCCACCCACTCCAACAATATAAAAGAAGAAATATAGTCACCTTCATTCACTGTTGCAGGAATTCCACCAACAAAAATCTTCTTAGTCTTGAAATCTTTAGATCCAATTGCTCCCTTTGGTATAGTTCGCTTAATTTCCACCTGAAATAGTCAGAAAACCACAAACAATCAGGGTTTAAAGCTACACACAGCTCTCAATACAACAAAATTCAGTTTAATTCAATATAGCATAGACAATAAACTTAAACCTACTTGTTTCCCATTAATAATATGATCCTCTTGAATGACTTTATCAACCACAGAGGGATCTGCATAAGTGACAAACCCAAATCCACGAGGCTGCCCCGTTTTCCGGTCCTTCATTATCACAGAATCCGTAATTTCACCATATTTACCGAAATGCTTGATAAATTGCGCTACAGAAAAGAATCAAAACCAAAAGAATAAGGAACCGAACATGCCCTTCCAAAACCAATACAACTACTATAGAACTAGCACAGAACAATGAACTAACCTGAAGTTGTCTCCCTAGCTAAACCTCCAATAAAAATTTTTCTGCAAATTTTACATGTTCAATAGAAACCAATAAACTATCAAATTATTCACTCATAAATTAGCTTCTTTAGAAGCACATGACTAAATACACCAAATCAAAACCGGATCTTTAACCACAACCGCAAGAACACAAACTCACAACGAGAAAACAACAAAAATTTCTCAAACATAAAAAATCTACACGTACAAGAAAGACGCAAAAATTACAGAACACCCATTAAGCTAAATTAGAAAAGGGTTACGTTAATTAGCAGGTAGGGATCCAAAGTAAAGAAAATTTGCTGAGACATTAATAAGATGGTCGGGAAAAGGGGGAAATACCCAGGGCTAGCTCCGTCACCGGTGTGAGGGTGAGACTTGTCATCTTCAGCGGGGTCAGAGGATTTATGAAGGTCGTTAGTTTCAGGGTCGAAGTTGGGTTCATTGGCATCTGGGTCCATGGCGTGAAAGGTAGAGAGGTTTTTTCAAGTAGAGGAGAAGAGGCGTAGATATTGTTTATTTTTTATTTTTTTGTTCGAGTTTGAGTTTCTAAGCCCTAAAACCCTTCTCTTTCCTCATTGGGTTATAGGGTTGGGTAAATATACTCTTGACGAGTTGACTTGACTATCGCCCTATCCCAAATCTACTTTCATTAACATTACGGAAGGCCCCTGCTCTATCAAGGACGTCTTGTTTTCTAATTAGGGTTCAAATTTTCAATAGCCACATTTAGTGGGGTTTTCTTTTAATCAAATGTATTAGGTTAAAAAGAAAACCATTTGTCCATACATATCAAATATCCTGTTATGTGCTTCCAATACAACATGAATAATGTTTTACTAAACCCGGAGTTTTAAAAAAAAGAATATAGGTGATTTGACAAGTTCGTATGGAAAAATTAATCTATCTATTAAAAAATAAAATATAGTTTGATTTAGGCAGGCATGTTTTAATATAGACAATTACATAGAATAATTACTAAATTAATGTTTTAATACTAAAAAGTGGCCCTTGAAAGAAAAATTGTGAGAGTTAGGGGTGTGCAAAACCAAATATTCCATCTGCTTTTGTATTTTTCCAATTCGATCCAAAAATTTAGGTTAAGAAATCAGATCGGATAAACCAGATATTCGAATTTGATCCAAATTTGAATGCAAAAAATAAAAAAGGTGTTCACTTGCAAAAAACAAACCCAGTTAGACCATCTCTAACCACAAACACTAAATTAGTGTGATTTTTGGTGTATTTCATTATTACATCTCTAACCCATTATACCAGATATTACACAAAAAGAAATATTCTTTAGAATTTTTTTTTCTTTCTATTAATAATCAATAATTAATCTATTTCACTAATTATTTTTCATATTTTTTAAATTATATAATTATTATGAATTTATTATTATAAATACTAATTAAATTAATATAAATACAAATAACAAAAATAAGAAAATAAAATATATTTTATAGTGTATGAATAATACCACACCAAATTGATGTAAATGACGTGAAACTGTTCACTTACATAGTGTTTGATGTTGGATTAGAACACATTTTTCACACCATTTTAGTGTTTTGGCATTGGGTTGGAGATGCCCTTAGACAGTAAGCATCCAACAGTTTAAACTTTAAACTCGAGAGAAAGAGAGAGCCAGAAAGATTTGAAATCTAGACACCGGGATTTTTTGCACAACCCCAGCGAGAGAGTCATTGGAAATTAGATACTTGTACCAAAGATAAATTGATAATTTCTATAATACTTCGGATTAAAATAGATGAATTATTGAAATTTGTTTACTTCTAATCTCCCTTAATTTTTGCTTCTGCCAAATTAATTTGTAAAAAAATGTAGTGATTACATACAACCATTTTCATTTTATGACTGTCCAAGATGAGCCAGGGTTGATACCTTGGGTTGAAAGCAACACAAAAATCTTTTCTGAAAAGCATTTGATTGAATTCATCTTCATATATACAAAAAATTCCCTTAATAAAAAGGATGCTGCTGCTGGCACCAATGACTCATCCACAGTAAAACTACAAAATTTGATACGCAAATTCCCAGGTTCTGTGCGCTTGGCAAGATGGAGAAAGTCCTAACTAATCAGTGAACGCCATCCTCCTAGCTTCTTGCCTATAGTAAGGCGTTTTATCTATAGTTCTTCTCACGTAATCTACAAAAGGCTGAGGTGTTCGAGGCGACTGGTCATTTGAAAAACCAGGAATACTGCTTCGGCGCTCAGGCGTGAGAGGTGCTGTCATATGTGGAGTGGCAGGAGGAGTCGCTGGCTGAGACCCAACAGACCGCTCTACTCGGTCAAATTTACAATACATCATTGCCAAAATCAATGCCGTTAGGGTAGATAATCCAACTATGCCTGAATAAAAGATTTCCTTTATGCCAGTACCGAGTCCTGCGCTCTTACCAGGTTCATAGCTAACACCTATTTCCACTCTCTGACCTGTAAAACAGTCCACAGATGGCAATGTCACCTAGATAGAAAGATCCACCAAAACTCTCCAACAAATACATTCTTTGGATCATTAAAAGGGAGTAAATTTCTATTCAAATTCAGAATGAAGGAATCTCACCATTGGCTGGAAGAGTGATTATGATTTTATCCTCAAATTTCTTGGATCTTGTTACTTTAACCTGAAGACATTGATGGGAGATTTGATAGTTGAAATGAAGAAGGATACAGAGTTCCCAAGTGCAATCATTTTGGTCTATTTCACAGTATCTGAAACTACTCATTTCCTTCCATTATCATTCTCAAAGGTTTCTAAGGATTTCAGAAGGTGATTTTTTTTATGTTTAATGAGTTCAATTATGTAAAACAAATTTGAGTACTCACCTCATACTGTGCATTCCCACCAATCCCAAAATCTTCTTTATGGATAGGATTGATCTTTATCAAATCCTGGTTCTGCCAGTGGATTTGAACATCTACAATGAGAAAATACCATGCTACCATTAAAGATCCTCACAATATTTGATTGGCTGATGGGCTCTATCAGTGTTGGAGTGTTTTTACAAGGGATATTTTCTCCATGCAGCAAAGACAATGGACAATTTTTGGTCCAAAACCAAAATGGAAAAGGACAGCAGAGCAGCGGGACGGGGAGGAAGGATAAAGAACAAAGAGAAGGAAAAATATCTCTGTTTTTTACCTGTATTCCCCAAGATAGTTAAGATAGTCATGTTAGAGTCTGGCGTAAGATTTAGCTGCAATGAATTCTGCAACAAAAGAACATTCTCAATTAACAATATTTTGGTTTTACATGCACAAGTTTTTTTGGGGGTTCAGTTTAACAACTCAATTATTCACAGTGGGGTTTGAAATAAGACATGTCAACTTTAGATTGAATTAATTCAAATACTGGCAAGACAGAATATAGATTCAATTAATACAAATACTACATTGCATAAACTGTAGTATACTAACATATATATAGAACCATACACCTAAGACTGTTGGTCACCCCTAGCACCAAGGCAGAGTATCCAGAGGTGCAGAGGAATCAAAGGTTTTTTTCTTATTGAGAGAAAACGAAATGCAGACTATTAGTTATGTCTAAAGCATGGAATCCAATTACCTTGTCCATCTCCAATACAGAAAAGCCCCCAATAAAAAGTGCAGATGCAGATCCAGAAACATGGCGCTCTTCTCTCAGTGAAGCATTGATGGAGACAGATATAAATGGGCTCATGTTCTTTGATTTTGGAATTGAACGTACCAAATGATCTGGAGAGTAAGGGAAAAAGAGGCAGTACCAGTTACCAGTGTCAAGATCCATCCATGGCTTGGCATACCTTAAATAATGAAAAGAAAATGACATCAAAACATGTACACATTACTTTAATAATATAATCCAAAAAGGGCAAGAAACATACCCAACAAAAGGAGGATCCACCTTACAATCATATGACACTCCCTTATGAGCTTCAAACTTGCTGTGAGCATATAGAATTATAGACATTATTTTTGTGTATGTTCAAACCATCAATTAGATTTATCCAAAAACTGAATATAACAAATAACATCCAATTCAGAAATTTGCTAAATCATATGTAATGATTCCATAAGCAGGTATGCATTACATATTTCATGAGATTATCAACACCAAAAGCCTTTACTACAAACGTGAGAAAATATTCTAGAATTTAAATTTTATACAGCTTCTCCAGATGAAGTGATAACAACTTATTTTGGGCACCTTAATCATCTGCGGCAATTTGGAGTGAAGATGGTAATTCTGCAGATATCGTTTATTGTTGCCAGGAGATATACAATGTTTCTACTTTCTACTTACAGATCAGTATTACCACTTCTATTATTTATTTTTTTTCTGGGCTCTTATCACTAGAAGTTTTATAGCTGGTGTTAGTGAGCAATTACAGTATCAAAATTTTATTCCTGTAGTTTGTATGAAGTGAAACTACTATTATTTTCACACTCAAATTCTTATCGAAGCATAACATAGATGCATTATTACTTTGCGCAACGTCACAAATAAGTTCTCAAAGCGGCCTGAGCTTTTGTTACTTGCAGAAGGTAAAACATGTTTTTGCCATATGAAACAGCAACACATTTCATAATTTATAACTTCTTTAGAAACAATAGTTTTAACAAAAACTATAACCATGAAGTACTAAATGTACCATCAATCAAAATAAAGTAGCATTTAAAGTTTATCAGTTAGTATAAGATCAAGTTATTCACAAACCTGAATGTCACAGGGAAAGTATATCCTTTGGTGGGGAAAGGAACATTTGTTAGCATCTCCTTTGGAGCATCCACAGAAACAATGTTTCTTGATATAACAGTAACTGTTGTTTGCAATTTCATACTTGGACATTCAAAAATTACTGCAGAAGTAAAACGTTCCAACTATAAAAGATGGGCTTATGATATTAAGGTGAAGTATGAAAATCAGATTGATAAAAGTACGTCATTCAGTACCTTGGGTAGAACCTATCCCAACTGGTTCAGCTTTTCCAGATTGCATGTCTACATATAATACACTATCATTTGCACTAAACCAGCGGCCAGAAAGTTTATCGTCAGAACCTACAGTGTCAAGGACAATGGTAAATTATTTCAATTTGAATAAAAAGAGATAAAAGAAAAATATAGAAGAAAAGGAATTAAAGAGAAAAGAAAACTCAGCCTTTTGCATTTCGTATTCAAGTAAAATCACAAATACTTGAAAAATGATTCTAAAAGATAAAATAATTTTATTGGTAACATAGCAATTAACTGTCACAATATATGATGAGAAAAATTATAATCCAAGGACATATAGATGATAACTCTTGTTTGGTTCACACAATAGTCTTTTGACCCTTGAACATCTCAGAAGACGATGAACCTAGCTGTCCCCACTACCAAGAAGTCAGGAACTGAAAAGAATGTAAATTGAGATCTATGGCATTATATTATCTTCAAAAGCATTTGACTAGACTTTCAAGCAGGTTTTTAGATATTAAAAACACTGAGAATACAAAATTTTGGATAATATCCTAGTTCTTGAAAACTCATTTCCGGATATAGAATTAAAAAGCCTTGAACTTCTCATATACTTGTATTGAAAAAGAATATTTAAGGGTCTGCTTTTGAGTAGATAAAATTTATGATACATCAAGGCAATCATCATTGAAGCGCTGGAACAAGAACACCGCATTCACAATAAAGAAAGGAGCAAATGCTCAAGTTATTAAAGATATAAATTATCAAACAAGATACTGAAAGTTTGCACTCAGAAGTTTACTCTTATAATGAGAAAACAGAGCAGTCATTTCAGATTAGTTGTAACCAATTGAAATTGTAAGTAATTCATCACCAGACAGACCTAGTACACTGAAGCCAAGACCACTTCCTAAATGCAGGACTGGATTCCGTGGATATATATGGGCACCAACCGAAATCTGAAGAAATATGGGATTCAGTGAAACTGGCAATAAAACTAGTGAAATATAGATAAGATGATTACAGAAAAAGAGACGAAAAAGAAAATAACTAGCATAAAAGGTTTACTTATTGTATATATTTCAGTGAAACTGGCAATTAAACTAGTGAACGTAGATAAGAGGATCGCAGATAAAGAGATATAAGAAAGAAGGTAACTTGCATAAAAGGCTTCCTTTTGTGTATATATATCCAACTTGCATAAAGGTGTACTTTTGCGTGTCCCTCTCTCAGTTTTTCTCAGTAGTATAGTAAGCCTTTGTGTAGCTTTTTATACAACTAAGCTTTACTATATTAGGTGAAAGCATATATCAGCCATGGCTGTGCTCTGACCAATTACAGCTTCAGCATACACAGTTCCAAGCTTCAATGAAAGTAAATTATAGGAATCTGATTTCTACATAAGTACCAGAATGTAATCTGACTTGCGTGGACTACTGTCAATTGAGACTTGCACAAGAGCTTTACCATGTCGCATTGCCTTCATCCAAAAAGTAAATTATCAGAATCACAGTAAAATTAAATTGCGAGGCAGAAGTTAAACAGACAGCCAAAAAAAAAAAAAAAAAAAAAAATGGGGTATTAGCATGTTCAGGTGAAATCCTTTCTATCCAGCGGTTTGAAAATCAAATGCATAACAAATACATTAAAAAACGAAAAATGCGAAAAGGTACAACACCTTGACAGCTTACTGTGAGGGGAAATGTACAATTGAAACCCGTTAACAAACCTTGAGATGGATTTTCCCACTGTCATCAAGTGTGTTGTCAATGAAGACAATATCCTTGTAATTAGTTTCAGCATGATAGAGGACAACATTATGTGCTTCATAAAAAGGGTTTCCTGTTTAAATGTAAAACCATAAGAATGATTGAGATTCAATCTGGATGACATCAAGTGCCAATATAGTAAAAATAAATATTAACAAAACAGTACCTAAAGCATCATAATAGCTTATTGGAATTTCAAGTTCAGCACCAACACCAAGATGAGTTACATGCAGGGGAAACTCCTCGTTTCTGATTCTTATTTGAGCCACCTTAGAAGAATATATAGCATCAGCAAAGTCAGTTCTAGACCTTGTATGCATATGCAAATATTTAAAAAACCAAAGGAAAGTAAGACAACATGGACACTCAGAATACACTATTTATTCAATGATGCCAGCATTGTCAAGAAGAACACATTATGTGCATTAATAGTACATTAGCTAGCTAATGCAAACTGTTCTTTCCTTTTTATGTTCATAAGAAAATAGGTAATTGCAATTCAATTTTGCCTAAATTATTATTAAAAAACACACTTTAAGTGTTTTAGCCATACTTGTGTATAATGAGAGGAAGGTTAGACATGATAAAACCTAGACATTCTTTACTACCCAACACTTATCCTAGAGTCCATCTTGCTCCAGTGGCAACAAATACATATCCAGAACACCCTATTCAGATGTCGAGCTTGCTATATTCATATCTTCAACAGCTTGGCCGAAAATATAAAAGATATGTATTAATACCTCAGCAACCCTGACACAAGAAGCAACCTCAACTCTTCCGGTGGACCGATCTTTTGCCTGAATGCAAGCGACATTGTTACTCCCAGCCGTTTTCATTCTATCCCCATCAACAGAAATATCATCCTTGCTTGCAGCTTCATTCTTCTCACCACAAGTTCTCAGTACAGAATAAGTAATAGATCCTTTGCGACTGTGACCATCCCATTGGCCAGATGTTTCCAAAGATGAAGGCAAAAGGCTAGATGTAGTATAATGGGGAGGAAGAAGCCATGTTATTGAAGCTCCAAGAGCAAGAGGGAGATCAGGCACCACAGATATTGATATAATTGCACTGTAAATCCTTGATTGTGAGTATGAACCAGAAACAAAATCACATGAGAAAGCTGCCGCAACTGTTGTCCTGCCTGCAGATCTGGAATTGGATGATAATTGCCTATGAGAATACTAAGCCTATGTAATGTTGCAGTATGCAACAAGATTAAGATACAAGTATCAGTAGCAAATTTACCAGAAATTTACGTTCATATCACTACAAAATCATAAGTTGAATATAGTAGATGATTAAGTCCAAGTTATTCTTTTTAAATAAATCTTTACAGGAGGCTTACCACAGATGAGCATCTATAAGCGTGGGCCTAAAAATTACAAATCAAGCCATAAGCCCAGAACAACACTCAAACTTTCCTTCTGCTCAAATTTCTGCATAACAGGTACATCTATATAGTCCTCACTTTAGTAGTTAACAAAGCAAGTTGGGGCCTCAAATTAACTAAATCTCACAATTCCTTGGATCAGACCATGTATGAGAGAGAGAAAAATGGACGAATTGCAAAAGAAACACTCTGACCAAGCTCAAATTTAATCAGTAAATAGAGCCAGAAAGTTGAATCTTTTTTCTCTCCTTTCCCATCCTAATATATAGTCTTATCTTGTAACAAGTTGTTTTTCTAATGATTTAGACTAGAAAAAGAATGATTTTGAGTTTTAAAAAAACAGAGAAAGAGAAGACAAGAAAAGATAAAGAAAGAAAGAGAGTGATGTAGCCTAGTTCCATTTGCAATTTAAATTAAAGCTGACAATTACATTGAAAATGCTATGTCAACAATAATAAAAAGACCAGCAAAAGCTCTACTACAATAAAATTAAGACCATCTCCAGTCTGTGAGAATATATACCAGAAGATTTAAACAAGAGTTTAAAAAAAAAAAAATATTTACCCAAACAGGTTGATCTACAAGTGATCCCATAATAATTATATCCTTTTCATTTGATTTCATTAAGTCAAGACTTGTTGACTGCATATTTACATGAGAATATGAAAGGATATGCTTGAGTGAAAGATGAAATTTGTAATTCAGAGTGCAAGAAAACTTGTGTTGTTCAGTATGCAACTTTTCCAGTGTGAATATGAAGCAAAGAAAAACAAAGAACATGATAAAATGTTGCAATATCTGCAGTATACCTTCCATATAAGACTTTGATGAAACCAAGTTCTTTCTCATCGAAGAAGCTAGAAAATTGAACTTCCCTTATAGCAGCTGACAAGACTGTATGCTTATCACCTAATTGCTCCTCCGNTATAGTCCTCACTTTAGTAGTTAACAAAGCAAGTTGGGGCCTCAAATTAACTAAATCTCACAATTCCTTGGATCAGACCATGTATGAGAGAGAGAAAAATGGACGAATTGCAAAAGAAACACTCTGACCAAGCTCAAATTTAATCAGTAAATAGAGCCAGAAAGTTGAATCTTTTTTCTCTCCTTTCCCATCCTAATATATAGTCTTATCTTATAACATGATTTAGACTAGAAAAAGAATGATTTTTAGTTTTAAAAAAACAGAGAAAGAGAAGACAAGGAAAGATAAAGAAAGAAAGAGAGTGATGTAGCCTATTTCCATTTGCAATTTAAATTAAAGCTGACAATTACATTGAAAATGCTATGTCAACAATAATAAAAAGACCAGCAAAAGCTCTACTACAATAAAATTAAGACCATCTCCACTCTGTGAGAATATATACCAGAAGATTTAAACAAGAGTTTAAAAAAAAAAATATTTACCCAAACAGGTTGATCTACAAGTGATCCCATAATAATTATATCCTTATCATTTGATTTCATTAATTCAAGACTTGTTGATTGCATATTTGCATGAGAATATGAAAGGATATGCTTGAGTGAAAGATGAAATTTGTAATTCAGAGTGCAAGAAAACTTGTGTTGTTCAGTATGCAACTTTTCCAGTGTGAATATGAAGCAAAGAAAAACAAAGAACATGATAAAATGTTGCAATATCTGCAGTATACCTTCCATATAAGACTTTGATGAAACCAAGTTCTTTCTCATCGAAGAAGCTAGAAAATTGAACTTCCCTTATAGCAGCTGACAAGACTGTATGCTTATCACCTAATTGCTCCTCCGTGTGGAAAGTCAAAACCTAGACATTGAAAAAACAAAAACCATTCTTAAACCAAAAGGAGTAGACAATTTCTTATTATCCACAAGTAGTTGATAAGACAAAAAACTGCAAACAATGGCAGAATGATGAACCACTGAATATAAACCTTATGATCTTCAACAGTCCAGTTGTAATTTTTGCAGAGCTCATAAAAAGAAAATAAGTTACCCTGACAACAGTGATAAGCAAGTCAGTACTCTTTTAAGGGATAAGAGAGGAAAATCCACTGAGATATTCTTGTTGATTTAGGTTCTTGCCTCAGGAAATAAAGGATATATGGGCATCTCACGGCCAACACCAAGCTGTTCACTTTGTACGTTCAACATCACTGAAGAAGGAACTCCAACTTTAACACTCCCATATGCTTGGCAAATTACAATGGCACCAGTTCCAAAAACTGTAGCAAGGAGGGTCTAATGACAAAATAATTGCACAAAATTAGTCAAACATATTATATCTGAAATAATTTCTCACCATAAATGTACGACTTAGAGGTTGAAGGGATCAAACTTGTCCACACTAAACCAAATGTACGGTGACAGGCAAACTTGTTCATACTTCATAGTATTTTAATTTAAAATGAAATTCATTGAAAAGAAAATATACTCTTAACAGGTGCCTGGGTGAACCTAACGGCTCTGTATTAGCAGAGGTATAGGTTGGTGGTTTTACAATTCACTTATGCTGAGAATGTTGGAGAATGTTGATTAATTTGAGCTAAGACTTCTTCACCTCCCTTACAGGAGAAGAATGTTCTCTCAGAAAGCTTCGAGTAGGATTCACCTTCGGAAATGGCATTATGGGTATAAGACATGGCAGTAACACTAGGCTTGGGTTTTTTTGGGGAGGGGGGAGGGGGGAGGTGGGTGGAGGGAGAGATAAAAATAGATGGAGGATCTAATAATTGATAAACACTGAGATAAGCTAAAAAGTCTAAGATTAATCCATACTTCGTATTTGTACAAAAGTTGTAAACTGTATTCGTTTAAAAAGGAGTTCAAATAGATTTCATTCAGGAATGACAAGAAACCCAATCCACTGAGTTAAGTTATCATGTTGCTAAATCTAAATTATATGAATGCATATATTAACTAAACCACATATCAATAAGCCAAAAGTTATTACCCACTAACCTGCATTTTAAGATCATTACATTTAGATAACAAAAAGAAAACTGAAAACAGCGTTAAGAATCAGCTAGGAATCATATCTTACAGTGTTCCCAGGTGAAGTGGCAAACAGTTGACCAGAGGATCTGTGGACTGTTGCTATTTTGTCATCCATACTAGTGTACTCAACATATACACCAATAGTTGGGCCTCCTTTCAGGGTAAGCTAACAAAACAAAAATGATCATGTTTACTTAAACATGTAGACTGGGACAAAAGAACAATACACCAAGAAATATGTTAAAAAATAAAATTGAAACAACAAAGAAATTTGGTCTATGTTAAAAATGTTCAAAGATATAGGCAACTTAGAATAAGTTTACTTCATATAGCCACTAAATTAAATTATACTTCAATTTCATTATACTCTATAATTGAAAAGAAAACTAATAATAATAAGCAAGACAGACAAAAAGGAAAGGTTCTGGAACATACCATATAAGATGCAGCTGGTACCAGGAAAATATCATGTGGGTGGATTCTTGGGGGTGCATAGACTTCAACCTTTATCGGTTGACTCACTATTTCATTTCCAGAATGCTGTCTGATACTGACCTGATTTCAATGTCTATCAGTAAAGCTTGTGTGATACTAAATTACAGAAATTGACAGCAAGAAGCCGATGGGACTTCATATTGGCAAAGGACCAAACTATGAACTTACATAAAGGGTTGTGATCCCAAGATGTTTAGCCATAATTTTAAAACTCGACATGCTAACATATCCACCATAATGACTTGAGTTATCATCATTGTCCACAAGCTCAACAATATTATCCTCAATATGTACCTGAATGTCCATGTAACCGTACTGCACGAAAAATTCAGAAGCACTAAAACCTCAGATGCCAGGAGATATGTGCATTAACATACGCAGATATCAGCAAAACATAAATAAAACAAAAGACACCAAATAAACTGGGGACATGTACTTTTCCGCATTCATGTCTGTGAACTTGGATATATTAAAAAATTCAATACCAACTAACTTGGATTTGATTCAAAGCATAAGCTAACAAAAGAAAGATAGAATATGTACATGTAATTCTTCAATGATAATACAAACGAAATGAACTCAAACCTGAGAAGATTCAAAAGTACTTCCATCTTCAATCCCAGCCATTAGATCAACATAGTGTGATTGACCTTCCTGAAAATAATGAGTTAGCAAACAAAAAATGTAAGTACACAATAAAATATCGTCCAGGCTAAACATACCATGAGACTTATTTCTTCTGTTGACACAATCTTAATCCAGTCTACATCAGCAACTTGCACCTGTAAAGACAGAAGTCTGCATATAACTAACTACAAGAATGAGCTAGGATATAAAATATTGACAATGAAGCTTTGAAGTTGTTAACTGCTTCTTGAATTGAATTGAGTATTATTCACGTATCTTAGTGGAAAGTGACAAAGTGATAATTTGCTTCACTTTTGCAATGGGTGGAAGACAATGAACAGCTTTTTTATCTACATGGAATGAATGATACCAGTTACACTGGCTTGAAATCTTTACTTACATAACATGCTTAGAAGTGAACATTCAAAAAAATAGCTGCTAAAAAGTATAATGTCGAATTAGTGTGGAGGTATTTAAAAACGGGGGCTAACTAGACAATTTAATGGGGTTCATGTACAAAAACTCCAAAAGAATATAATTTAGGTTTATCCCAATAGGATAAACCCTTAAACTTCATTGGGTTTGGTAGCTTCAGTTTGGGCTTCAATAGCAGGTTGGTTAGGGTTGGGCTCTAAAACAATCTGATGAGCTTGGATTAAGTTGGTAGGTAGCCCCAATCCAAGCTATGCCACCACTAGCAACCACAATTCCAGTTGAAATGATAGAATAATAATGGCTTTAATCCTTTTGAAAGAGATCTCTAAAGGTTGCATATGCTTGATTGACCTATTAAAACAAAGACATGAAGGTTGGCCTCTGGGAAATATTATCATGTCCCTCCATTTTTTTTTTCCATTCCGATAAAAAACTATGAATCGTGCCCCTTTATTTTTTGCCCCAGACTTTTTCTACTTTCTACAAAACCCAATAATTTTCTATGCCAAAACCAAATAATGCTCTGGGAGATCCAATCAAACATGTTTTCCATCAACAAACAAATCACTTCAAAAGGAGAAAGGGAAAACAAATTACCAGAGTTGAAGCTGCACGTGGGGGAGCAAGCCCAATATCATAGACTGTGACAAGTGCATTTCCCAACCCTTTTGGAGATAGCATCAATTGTGAGCACTGTAAACCTGGTTGGGGTTCGATGACCTCTACCACTCGAGAATCATTAACAATAGCTTCCAGGAAACAGCTTCCTCCAATAATGGACAAGTTAACCTGAATTAAGACAGATACAACATTATACCATGTATAGTGCTGAAAATTAATAACTTATCACCTTGGACCAATACATACTACCCCCAACACAACAAGATTAGTGGGCTCAATAATTGGCCAAGTGAATTACATTAAAGCATTACCTAGCTGTTACCTAATTTTTTTCATTGATAGTGCAATTAATAGTTCCCAAAGACATCTTAAAAAAGAGATAACAGGTTTTTCAAGAGAAAAATGATTAATGACCATCCAACAATGCCATTGATGATTCAAAGGCCAATGGAACAAATATGCATGACAAAGATTGGTTTTCATCATTTCAGAATTTATACACATAATTGAACTTTTTATTATATTTAGTAGAAGCCTAAATAGTGTATTGTAGCTGTCCACATCAAACATATATTCTATAGTGTCTTCACCAGACACTTAGAATAATAAGGAATAGTCAGCCAATGTGAATAGGAGACTTCAATTTTCTCCCTTTCTAATTGGATGCCTGGAACAACCTGGGTTTGTAAAGCAAGAAAAAGAAAAGGTTTTTTAACAACATTGTTACCACACCGTATCTTGTATATGTTAAAAATATAATTGATAATATATTATCTCATATATAAAACCATCCCAATTTCTTGAATAGAAAAGAAAGGAATATTTTACCTTAGATAGATGACACACATGAATAATCGTAAAGCATGCTTCAAAGAGAGATGTATTGGAATTAGAGTCTTACCTTAGCATCAGGATTGAAAAATAACAAGTTGAATTCTGGGTTGACTCTTAGAGTAGAAACAAGCTGCTTATTTGGAAATTCCAAAGGTTAGAAACAAATTGAAGTAATAATACAAAAGATGTGCTATAAGTTACAAGATCACATAATAAAGGAGTAGCGTACCTGTAAACGTACAGCATCCGTTAGATTATTTCCTGAAATCTCAAGCAATTGAGCAGAACGATGACGACCCTTGGCATCACAGAAACCAGTAACAGTGGCACGGACAATGCACTGAGTTTCCAACATTCAATGGCTTAGCTCACTTCCAATAATGCGGCATACAGAAAATGACAAGAAAAAAAATGCTATTAAATGGCAAAACATTGTATCACCATTCAGAGTCAATCAAAGTGAGAGCCTATTACAGATCGGGCACCCATTTCTAATGTAATAATACCAAATAATAGATGAAAGACTGAGTTAAGAAGTGTTATACACCTAATAGGCAGCGACTACAACTATGAAAATAATAGAAACATGTTACATCTATTACAACTTGGAGAATAAATTCAATAATCAAGAACAATACCTATTCATCTCCTATATGCCTAAAGAATATGGAGTAGCTTAAGATATATTATTATTACGTTAGGAGTTCTCACAGTACTTCAATGCAAAATACAAGAACTTAAATTCAAGCAGTGTACCATAATTTATGTTTTTATTATTATTATTTTTTGGGATAAAACAACAAAAGAAATAATTTGGCTCTAGGTCTTTTCTTAATCATCATCTAGAAAATTTAACACTAGAACAATATATAAGCCCTAAAAGTATGTTTAAAGATGCAAGTATAAATATGAAGATAATTAAGTTCTAAATTACCAATCCTGATTCATTCTGCAGGACCAAGAATCTCTCCCAACTAGACTCAGACCGCATTGAACCATAAGTATCATCCCAATATGCCAATCCGTCACAGCTGCTCAGTTCCCACCTTAAACAAAGAGAAGAGGAGTTTGCAAAAGCTTCCCCAGAGTTACTGATGCCGACTGCAGCTATACGAATAGTTTGTCCATTAGCCACGGTTAACTGGGGTGACACGGATTCGGCCTGGGCTACGGTCGGCTTGACTTGCAGTCCGTATCACTTCACGTTCATTAACTGAATAATGCCATAAGCTCAATCAAAGATAATTTTAAAAGTAAAGGAAAACCTGCATGATCATGACTTTTTTTTTTTTCTTGAGAAAATACAGCTTATAGATACCTGGTTCATCAACAAGGAGGGCAACTGAGGAAGGGAAGCCGCATGTAAGAGACACTGAAACTTCTGCAATGACTGGCAGAAGATGGTCGTCTCCAACCAAATTCCCACGTTTAAAAACCAGTTTCTGAGTCAATCAAAATCAGAAATAGAAAAGGGATGACGATTAATTTAATAAATTAAAATATTGAGCAAAAGGTATACAAGAAAGCACTAACAAGATAAGAAACCATACAGAACATAAGTCCTTAAAAGAATATGGAAGCTTACAAAGGTTCCCACAGTTTGGCATAAAACTCCATATAAACTCCCCTTGCTACCAGAAATGATGTGCACATGTATGTCATCTTTAGTTTGGCCATACTTGTCATCCAGGATCTCAAAAGTGTCATCGAATTCAATACCTTCATCCCACCGTTCTGGTCCTCCAACAAGCAAAACATCTATCCTTGTTCCAGGGACAAGATATAACTTACTCAAATTTTCCAGTTGATTATTGGTATCTGTTTGACCCTGATTGAACCAATAGCCACCAAATTGGCTTCCATCCCCCACCTGTTGCACAATAAGTGGTGGATATGCGGCAATACGTGAAGATGCTTTTAAAACAATCGGTCCATGAAAAGAATGATCATAATGCTGATACTCTTTTGTAAGCGTTGCATGCAACATAGTCCGGCCTGAACCAGAAGCATATAAATAGGTCCAAGAACATGGAGGACCATGAACAGATGTACGATGTCCAACAGTCTCTAGCTTCTCCAAGAAATGTGTCCTCTCTGTTGCATTGACAACAATGAAAGACTCGCTTCCAGCTTTCCAATTTATTAAAGAACTAAAAGCATCACACTTATAAAAATAGGCACCTGCGGATTAAAAATCAACTTCAACAAAAGAACATGACATTCAACATAGTAACAAGAAGTGATTTATAAACGATTATGCAATATGGCACACCATTTGATGCTTTCATTGTTACAGCAGCTTGAAGATGTGATCCTACAACAGTCTCAACAGGGAAGTTTTGCAGCATAACCATAGATGATGGAATAGAAACATCAATAATGACCTGTCAAAAGTAAAATAAATTTACAACATTAGCAGAAGGGTAGGAGTAGAACAGGAACCAAGTAATATCTCTATTGTAGAGCCTTTTTATGCATGACAGCTCAAAATGGACAATATAACAACACATGCTACCCCCCAGTCTTAAATTTGTCAATTGTGGAAAGCACAATTACTGGCAAAACGAAACAATATACATGCAAAGCATAATTATTGACAATATAATCTTTTATCTATTTTTCTTCTGAAGAAACAAAGAAAATAGCATTGGTTGAAAAGAATAAGTAACTGGAATACTAGGATATTAAGTAAATAAACGAGATAGTTCATAATGGTGGGTGTCTAAGCGTATTCAAGGGACTCAGAAATAACAAGTTATAGACTACTTCTACAAACAAATATATTCAACACAATTACATTACCTCATCATAATTGAAAGAATCAAAAATAGACACCACTTTGACAGTAGCTTTTCCAGGCTTCTTTGCCTGGACAACTCCAGAAGCAGATACGGATATAGTAGCCATGTCTGAAGAAAACCATTTGTAGTCACTGGATGTCTTTGCTCAACCTAGATATTAAAAGCCAAAAAACAAGTTAAAAGCTAAGCTATAAATATTTAGAAAATTGAGCAGGTAGAAAGCTGCCAACCTCCAATAGCTTTTAGCTTCACTTCTTGATAAACACCAGGGGCCCATGGAAGGAGAATACTCTGAGACATGCCATCTGCACTATCCACACTAAACTTAACTTCATCACATACCATTATTTCTTGCACAACCTTCAGGACCTATGAGTAAAGAATATGCAGATGAGACTTAATTGCCTAGTAATGACTACAGAACATAATAAATGAAAAAAAAAAAAAAAAAGATAAAATATAAAATAGAAACAGAAATTATAACTAAATATTTGGAAAGTGAAAAGAAAATAAGCTAAAGCAAAGCAACACCTCTTTTGTATCCTGATGCCTACTAAAATATGTTAAAGAAGCAATCAATTTTTCCAGTCCCTGTGAAGTTGCTTCCAGGATTCTAGAATTTCTCAAACCATGTTTCAGCACAATATCATCCGACACCAAGAAAGTTTTCCAGTATTCAGACTCATTGTCAAACAGTTTAACATCATCAATCTGCAAAGCAAGAAAATAGCATCTGAGTGATCCAAGAAATTAATGAGAAACTAAAGTGAGCATCAAAACCAAAACCAAAACCACATATATCATGACAATTAATATGAAAATTTGCAAACTTCATGATGAGGCAAAGAGCACCAGCAAGGACTGTAAGAAGCAAAAATTCTTCAAATTCACATGAAGAATGAGGGAAATAAAACTGAACAGATAACTCAGAATATGCAAACACTACAAATACAATTGGTTATGGGGAAAAATAAGAAAGCTTCAAAATTCTTCTCTATAGTTATGTTCAAAGGTAAATTTGTACCCATTTTTATAAAAATATGTCGGGAAGCATACAATTGGAGAAGATATTTCTCTATCACACAAAATACAATTATTTTTTTATACTGATTCAGAGTGCAACAATCTTGAGGGGAACATTGCTGCTATAATTTTCATGATAAATAGCCCTAACTACTATTTGCAATCTTTATAGTTCATCTTGAATTGTGCAAAAAGAAATGAAAATATAATTGTGATAACCACTATCCATGTTTAGGTAGTCCCTTGAATTCCAATATTTCCGAAGGAGGACTCTCAACTTATTGCCTCATGCCATAGATAAAGTTTATGCAGTTTTCTCCCTTTGGAAGAGACACAAAGCAAGGCAAAGTCTGTTCTTTGAAGATGCAACGTCACTTCCACATAATCTCATAGGCATGGTCCCTAGCCCATCTTTTAGACTAACTTCCTAAAACATAGTTATTACTTTGAAATGTTGTGCATGTACATGAACACACATATATATTGTTGTCAAGTATCCACCAACACAAAACACACACATTGAAACACTTAATTTGGAAGACTAAAGTTCCAAGCCAAGCAATATTTTGGCTCGGCATGATTCAGAGAGGCAGAATACGGATTTTTCTATTCCCAAACTAGAATGTCATATTTCTTACAAAAATATTATTAAGTACTGCATCAAATTTCTAAACCTTTTAATTACATGGAAAAATCTTAAAGGCAAGCCAACATGAAAATGACAAAAAAGAAGCTCCTTCAGGTCACATATGCATGCAAGTCACATATATGACTAATAAGATCAAACTAGATGAATTATGTGTTACCTGTGTAATATAGATTTCTTGTGCACCAGGTCCCGGAGAAAAAACTTTCAACTGAATAAGATATTGGCGGCCAGAAATAACATACCAACGTGCCACAGACGGGATGGCTTTTGCTTCTTCCATGAGATCACCAGAAATAGACAAAGGCAAAATGTACAAACGTAAAGTGTCAGGTACGACCACATTGAGTGAGGACACTTGTATATGGCCAGCAACTCTGGTATCTTGAACAATGACAGCTGTTTCGCCTAAGTTTAAAGCATGAGTTAAACCCATCATACTATCCACCTGAGCAACTGAAGGGTTGGAAACAGACCAGCGGTGATGTGGAGATGGTAGAGTAACCACTGCAAATGCCAATAAAAAATATAGTAAGAACTTTGAGAATAATTCCCCAGTTCACCATAATTCAGTCCATAAAACTGTATATGTAAGAGACCAGTACAAGGAAATTAAAATTGAGACAACAAATATACATAATATATATAGATATAGATATGTGCACATAAATGATTGCAAAAGAATGATATTGCATGCCAGTATATAATCCAACTCCCAGAAGAACCAAGGGGAGATGCCTATAGCCCCTCAAACAAGCTATTTTGAGCATCAATATTTAAGATACTATATTATGGATCAACTTTAAACCAGCCCTTCACTCACATTAGTTTCAACAGTCAGTTAAGTAGAAGGATTCAAAAGAAAAAAAACCTTGAGGTATATTTCCACGGATAACTTTAAGACTATAGTGAAGAGCAGCACCAACAAGCACAAAAACTGGTGAAGGAGGCTCAAGTGACATGGCTTCTGCTACAGTTAGAATAATGCTATCAGCCATGTGCTTAAATTCAGGCTCAATCAAATGTACAGAAACATTCTCATGGCCAATTCCAATTCCCTTCACTACAAACAAATCTGAAAATACACCCTGCACCAAAAATCAATAAATAAAATAAGATATAGCTGCAAAAGTACAAGACAATTCACAGTTAGTGCTCATTCACACCCACTACAAGTATATACATACACTATTCTCAAGCTGTATTTGAATATCTAAGTCACCACACCGTCCACCACAGTCAGTCAAGGGAGAATCCTCCAAAGGAACATGGACAAGGTGATGAGGCAATCCATCAATTTCAGGCATCAGCAGCCATATGAATTGTAAGCCCACTAATGATGAAAACACATTATCTGCAATACAGCTTGAGAAATGAATACAACCATACTAGAAATAGAAATAAAAAAAAATAAAAAAAAAAGTTAGCAGTAAAACTTTTTAACCTGCAAAGCAAGTAATAAAGTTTAAAAAATGGATTAACATCAGAAACAATATTCAGAGGCAAACACTTCTCAACTAATAAGCAACCATGTGACACTGGACAGCATTAAACTAACCTGTTGTAAGACTAAATCATTTATTGGTAGCTCATGGAGAAGTTGATACTTCTGATGTGATTCAGTCCAGGTGGCTTGGTCAATCTATCTCTAAGTTGCTGTGTTATGAGTAAAAGAGGCGCAGGAAGCTTTCAACATTTGCTTCTTCATTATGCTGTGGCTTTAAAGTTATGATTCAAGATTGTTGGGTATATACTGAAGTACTACGACTCAATTAATCATCAAATATCATTGTGCTTTTGGCAGAAGTGAAAAAGTTGGTGGTCCTTTGGAGATGTTGTATCCCAGCAATGATCTAGGTTATTTGGATAGATGAAAATAAGTAATATTTGAGGCGAAGGACAAGGCTTTGAGCTGATACATGAAAGAGTTTATACTCTTGTTTCTTTAAGAAGCAACTTCTTTTCTCTTCATTTAAATGGGTTAAGCAGCTATCGTGTCTTACTTTTCTCAATTTCTCTGTCCTGGTTGAGGGCCTTTTGTGGTGAAGCTGTTGATTTCTTGTTTACTTTGTTCACATCTTTGTTTGATAATCTTATGTTGAACAAAAGAATTTTTAGAGTCTGAACAAGAATAATCATTTTTATGACCCGCGTGACCTTGAGTAGTATCCTTTTACATGCCCTCTACTTATGATATATAATTGAAAACTCATATAAGCACTTGAAATATTTTGATATTTAACTGAATAAAAAGTACTTGAACTTAAAACATAAAAATAGAAGTTTACCTTCTTTTCTTTTTCTAGATTTATTTATTAAAAAGAAAAAAAAAATCTAGCAGCAGCTTTATTTATACAGTTTTTGAGTAAAAAAAAAAAGAGCAATACCAATGAAAAAATCACATAAACTGTTAAAAACCAAATATCAACTTTGCTGATACCTTCACTATCAAGGACACAGAACAGATAATCCCAAACATTTATTTAATCATTAACATTCAAATACCTTCAGTATCAAAGGCACGGACACGGAGGGTAGCAAGGCCATCTAGATCAAGTTTAATGGAATTATGAAATATCTGTATTCTGGAAAAGTTGTCAATAAAAACTTTGCAGCGAACTACAATTCCAGAATGTACATCAGTGGCATAAACTGCAGTTTCCTTTCGACCACTATAAGGAGCAATTGATCTCAAACGTGCACTTGTTGAGCAATGGTTACTTGCATTATATTCAGGTAGAACAGAGAGAATATCATGATGATCCCATGACCTGTAAAATATTAAAAAATAATAATAATTAGAACAACTTTAGAAGCATTTATTTTATGCTGCAATGGGATGGACAGAAAGGAATAAATCATCAATTAAATTCCATCTCATTCTTAAAGACCCAGTCTACCATAAAAAATAAAAAACTACGAAACATTGTAGCATTAGTATCTCCTCCTTTAACCAAGCTCTAGCTTTCTTCCTCCAAGAATCTTATCTTTGAATTACAATTCTTCAAAACTAATTTTAAGCTGCAACTTCCCCTGGCTCAAAATTTAAAACATTCTGTCATCCCCTTCATATCCATCAAGATCAGCTATTGTAACCTCTGTTTGCAAGGACTCTGAAGATACCTCTTTATTGATCCATCTTAATTGGTTAGGGGTTCTAACAAGCTGTTGTAATCTTTCTTTTTTGTTTTGTTCTTTCTGCAGAGGTTACATAGATTCATGATAGTCTTTGTAAAGCCTTAAACCCTAATTGGATGGGTTCCTTTTGTAGTAGTGGACACCTGATCCACTGTTTGTGTATTTTTTTTCACAGTAATACACAACTCTACATGGTCTATCCAAAAAATAAAATAGATTAGAACCTCCACATCTCCTTTCTTTCTTACATCCCTGAAAACCTCCACATCTCTCTTCAACTTCTCTTTACCAACTCCCACTGTTTCGTAAATCTGAAACCTCAGCTCCTCCACCAATCTTCAATGCTGTCTAATGGTGCTCTAATCACATATTTTCAAAATTAAACCAATTAGTTTCAATTCAAACAATTTGAATCAGCAATAACTCCAAATAGTTCTGACAAAAGCTTCCTTACTCCTACCTCACTCAATAACAACATCCTCTTCTTAGATAAACAATAAACCATTCCAATTTAAAACACAACACATTAACTCAAAAAGATTCTAAAATTTAAAATTGAGCTTCATGAAGAGCTACAAGTTTGTCTCCCTACTCAATGTATTAAATTCTAAAGCTATTTCTTCATTTAGAGCGTACTACTCCTCTCATCATATTATCAGCATCCTTTTGTTCACTCAATGGCAACACACTAACACTGAACACTACTTGAAACAAATTAAGTTCCCAATACTAAACTACATTACGAAAGATTATATATAAATATTACGAGTACTACCATTTGAAGCAGCCATCACTTCCTTGAAGCCGGTACTCCACCGGATTTGTCATTTTAGGCGGCAACAGTATGTTAACATCCGTGATGTGCGGTCCAGGTGCTAAATGCGACGTTGTTTTCTCCACCGCCACCACCAGCAGTAGAGCCAAAACGAACCGAAACACGAGTTGAAACATCTTTAGCTAATCTGCCACTAAATATCCCATGAATAGAAGCTAAATCAAGATAATAGAGTTCCTTGTTTGAATTGTGTTAAATCAGTTAACAGAAAACAAATTTCAGGTGAGCAGTTGAAGTGAAGTACAGAAGGATCAAAATGGAAACCCTAAGACAGGGTTTTAGAGTGCAGGAAAGTAGTGGAATTTCAAGGGTTGGTGACGTGGCGCGATTTGGTTGGTGGTGATTTAAAAGAGGTGTCAGAATACTGCGGCCCCACCATTTGACGGGGTTTCAGGTGATTTTCACGCGCTTGGTGTAGGCGTGTGGTCACCGTCCAAGCATCGGATTCAGAGAGAAACAACAAATTCGAGATACCGCGAATTTCGCTGTCGTCTCCAAGTTTTTCATCGTTTTAGTTTTGAAGAGATAATATCATAAAAATCCATGAAATTAGAATGCTATCAATAATACCCCATTATTTTAAATACTTATTTCTTTCAAATACTAATAAGTTAACCCAAAGACTCAAATATTATCATCCTTAAATTATGAAAAATTAAACAATATAAAACTTTCTCTATGATGTCTCTCCCAATGAGCTGAAGCACTTTACTTATCATTTACAAAACACGTGGCAAAATGAGTACAAATGTTGCATAATGGACGTGACACATGACAAATTCTGCATGCAACAAAATTTACAAAGAATAATTAAGAACCGGGCTTGCATATTTATCAACACAAAAATCATTTAAAAGGGAAAGGCCGGTTATTGCTTTTGTGAGTGTGAGGCAGCCATGGATACTCAGAGCTGGAACAACAGAGAAGAAGCCAAAAACTCCTCCGAGAACGATAAGAAAGTAGCAAAGGAAGTTAAAGGCGTGGTGGATGAGGCAGCTAGTAGTGCAGGAGAGAAGAGAGAGAGGAATGACATTAATGCTACAAGTAAATCGGTAATAAAAGAAGTTGAGCAAGGAATTGTGAAAGGTCTTCCTCATCAACAAGTTCCTCAGCCTGGAGATTTCTCTAGCGAAGCCCTTGAGCATCTTTGATCCTCACGCACCCAATAATGTCGTTTGTTTCCTTAATTTCCTTTTTTCTTTTGATAATTTATTGTTAAGAGAGAATGTCATCATGTATAATTATTTGTACTTAAATTAAACTTAATTAGGAACCTATCTCTGTTTTATTGTAATTAAAAAGCCTACCCAACATAAGCTCCTAGAATCCATGCAGCCTATGAAAACCTAGAAATACTTAAACCTCACGTAAATCAACCTCTACACACTTTCCTTTTCACATTCTCAATCTTTCGGTCCAGAAAACCTTTACACTTACACATAAATTTATCTAAAGTTATCATGTTAACTTCACCGGAAAGATCAATGGCTGCGGTGGCGGAGAGGCCTAGGTTGAAGAAGTTGCTGTTCAACGTTATGATACAGGGTGATTTCGTTGCCGTAAGGGTGGTGATGCCGTTGGAAAGCACGTCACCGATCTGGTGGACGCTGTGATGAAACAGTATGTTAAAGAAGGTTGTCGACCCATCTTACCAAGCACTGATCCCTTGTCTTTCAGTCTCCATTATTCACGGTTCAACTTCGAAAGTTTGGAGAGGGGCGAGAGGCTGATAAAATTCTCTATTCCTGTGATTCTCACCATTTAAAAACTTAATTTAGGTTTCCATTCTTGTTTTCTTCCTCCGATTTTATTCCCTGTTTTCTTTTTCTCTCTTCTCAAACAATATGGCTGCTTACTTTTGCATCGCTTTGTTCTCATTGAGTCTACTTTTTCTTCGTTGATCTCACCCGCTTCCGCTCAAACATGCAACACCTACACTTTCTCCAATAATCACAACACTTATCGTGCATGCAAGGACCTTGAGGCTTTCAACTATCATCTTCACTGGAACTACAACCAGGATACCAACACTCTCGACTTAGCTTGTCGTACGTTGAGGAACTGACCCAGAGAGATGGGTTGCTTGGGCCATAAACCCAACTGGAGAAGGCATGATCGGTTCACAGGCTCTTGTAGCCGATACAAACCCTAAAGGAATCTTGCATGCTTATACTTCTCTCATCACAAGTTACAGTGCAATTGGAAGAGGGTTCTTTGACTGGTCTTGACTTTTGAGGTTCAAAAGATTTAAGCAGAGTTTGCTGATAATGAGATGATTATTTACGCAACCATCGTGCTTCCAAAGAACATGATGACGGTGAACCATGTATGGCAAGAAGGTCCGATAGATGGAGATAGTCTTGGGATGCATCCTCTAAGTGGTGACAACGTTAGATCAATGGGAACTGTGGATCTTCTTTTAGGAAAAGTTGTTACGATCGGCCATTTGTTGTACACAAATTATGTTAATAAATCAATACATCAATGTACTTCAAATTATCCAAATTACATATTTATCTAGAGAAATGCCCTTGAAAACATCCTCTAGCTCAAGCAGCAAGCTTATAACGAGATATCCCATTAGAGGTAGGTATAGCTTTGGAATGATGATTGGCCACTAATTAGTGAGGAGATTTGACAAACATCTAACTGCACTGAGATGGTTGATAGCACCTTCAACATTTCGTTATATTTAACTGACAAGAAACACTATTTGAGATGACAGCGTTAGTTTCCTAAAGTCAAAGGAAAAAGCGTTTCGTGCCAAACCTCAGGGGTGGCACTGTAAACCCATAGTGGTCTTCAAGCACGGCTGTGTTGATGGGATTAAATTCATAATTCAATCCCAGGATTCTGTTTGAGCTTTCACTAACCGCGCATACAATCCATTCTTGTGAAGGAGCTCGTGATGGTTGCCTATCTGTGCATGCACAATTCGTAAGTGCAAAAATTATTGGGTAACTTGCATGTATACAAGTTAGCAATACAAGTTAGCAATATTGAGTAACGATACACTAAAAGTTATTTTGAAAAAGCAAGACAAAAACTGCTACCTCAACAATCTGGCCACCGTCAATTACAACAATTCTGTCAACATCTTTTATGGTAGAGAGCCTGCAAAATGTTATTCCTCAATTCGCAAATCATCTTTGAAAATCAGAACAAGAACTGATGAAGCAAGAAAACTCACCTATGTGCAATGATAATAATGGTTCTTTTTGTTTCATTGTCATTTCTGAGCGAATGTAGAACCCCCTAAAGATTGATAAAAGCCTTGATGAGAATTTCACAAGCCTGAGCTAGCTGAATCTATAACATATCTAGTTTCGATTCTTTTGGAAAATGGGAGTACTTACCCTGACATAGTGTTCGCTTTCAGAATCCAGAGCACTGGTAGCTTCATCGAGAATTAGAATAGCAGGATCTCTAAGTATGGCTCTGGCAATAGCAATTTGCTGCTTCTGCCCTCCACTAAGTAAATCATCATCAACAAGGGTTTCATAACCATGAGGAAGAGATAAGATGAATTCATGAGCATAAGCCTGCTTTGCAGCCCATTCTACGTCTTCCTGCTTAAGATCTCTTGGGCAACCATACATAACATTTGACTTGATATCCATATGAAACAGATGGGGTTCCTGAGTTGAATTAGAGTTTAGAAAAAACTTGTACAGCCTTTGCAGGTTAGTTTCATATATCACATGATATGTGGTTGAACCTGTCCAACAAATCCGATCTTTTCTCTCAACCACCTGACGTCCAGCTCCTTTAGTGGGAAGCCATCAATAAGTATCTGTGAATAGGAATACTTGTGCATGTGAGAACTGTTCTTATACCACTCTGAAAACGAGTGAATGAATTTGGTGCATTCCAATATTCAGAAAACAATAGGGAAGGTTTCATCATCATGAAAAGTCCATTGTGGATGAAAAACATTGAGAAAAACAAGAAACAATATTTCAGATTAGTCCATACAATAAATTCGAACTACTGCCAATTAGCAGTAAAACCGAAACTTAGAAGCTAGATTCACATGCTTTTTGAGTTGGTTTATAATTCCCATTGACCACACCAAGTTTTATATTTGCTATGGCATGGTCCATATCAGATTTTAAAAAATTCAGTCTCCCAACTTGAAAAATAGTCAAATAATCCCCTGCACGCCTGTCATGCTCACACTGAAAGCAAACAAGGGATTTCAGGGTTTTTATTGACAATTTCTCAACATTCTAGATGGTATTTACTACTTGGAAAATGTTGTACTTCAGTGATTTTATGGCAAAAGTCATTGGGTAAATGATGTTGAAAATCTTATTCTGCAAGCTTATAATTTCTATCCTACTTTGCGTTGGATTGATTATATGCCTTCTTCTTTCAAAATGCAATTTAGTAAATAGCAAGCATTAACTATGGAAAAAATGGTTCTACAAGAATCTCAATGCCTCTCCAAATAGACCATCCTTTAAAACAACTGGAATGCAAAATTGCAATGGATAAAAAGATATGCAAAAGCTGATGTTGGTGAGGAGGGGTTGTTTATAAGGTTAAATACGTTATGCTTGCTTCGCAACACAGACGAGCAATGAAATTGTGTTTCCAAACGTACATGAGATTCATAAAAATAAATATTTCAATCAATTAGTTACCAAATCTACTTGTTGGAGTAGAGTATACCTGACCACTAATTGGCTCATAGAGACGTAGTAAAAGATTAACAAATGTGCTTTTTCCACTGCCACTTAGACCAACCTTGGCAAAATAAAGGCATCAAGTCAGTCCCATATCTTTTTTCTGTCATTTAAGGTAAAGATAAAAATAGATACACAAAGATATCTCACGATTGCAACCACTTCATTTGCTTCTACAGTGAGGCATGCATGATCTAGAACGGGCACCTGTTTGAAAATCAGATGTTAGTAAAGCTCAATGAGTTCTATCACATCCTGAAAAACCTCTCCCAACCCACACCTCCAAAGACCAAAAAGTAGATGAAAAGTATGAAGGCATACTGTTGCCCTTGAAGGATAATGGAATGATACATTCACAAATTGTATATGCCCCATCAGCCTCTGCAACTTTACTCCTGCATAGAGCAGAATGAACTATGAAATTAAACGTATACAAAATCAATAAAGGTAATATAAATGGCCATACGATGAACTAGAAATTGGGAGCAAAAATCACATAGCCAACTAGTTCTTTCTGCAACAACTTCAAATTTCTAGTGGACCCACTCGGTAGGATTTGAACCCAAATGAAGTTTTGTCCGTCTATTAGTGGGTTTGACCTTTCCATCCCAGATTGGACTCTCATATAAGTCAAAATAAAAATCAACCAACCAAAATATATAAGATAAAATTTTAATTTTAACTGGAAGTGAATAAATACATAATAACCACCAATGCTAACACCAATATGTAGAATTCAGATATCTATAATGCAAGTACATATGGACCTATTACTCCATAGTACTCTGTATCAGTCATTCAGGAACTAAACTGAAATCTAAATGCAGTTCAACACATTGCAATTCACAAATAAAAAAATAATAATAATGTAGTAGACTCCTATTAAGCAATATCTAGTAGAATTCACATTTTGCAAAATGATAAAGGGTGAAACAGTGCAGATTATAATCAAAGAATTTAGTTCTTCTCCGGAACAAAAAATATTCTAAAAAATTAGTCTCCATGGCAAGTCTATCAATGAAGCTAATCCGTGTAATACAAGAAAAATGCTCATTAATCTAAAAAAGATTATGATGATCTTCAAGAACCTCCCGTCCAAGAAATTACAAGACATTGCTTGCCTTTTGATAAAAATTGATTGCTGGGCAGAAGATCCATTAACTGGAAGACCTTTTCACTTGCTCCAATTGATCGCAGTAGTGAGGATAAATTGTCCACCACCCTCCAGGTTGCATAAATCAACCACTCGCAGTACAATACATATGTAAGGAGCTGCTCAGAAGATACATGACCAGTCAAGATAGACATTCCTCCTAAAAGCACCGCAATAACCTACAAAATCAGTTAAATTATCAAAATTGGACCAGAATCGCTCTTTTCTTCACCATCAACTTACTAAGACTAAGAAATTTATCAGCTAACTTTTCAGAAAAGAGACGACTCATCTCTTCTAACCTTCTTCTTTAAGCATAATGCTAGTGAACGAAAAACCCCAAAAAGAAGCTTTTCATTTCTCCTGATCTTTTTAACGTATAAAAAAGTGCTAGAGTAGGACAAAATACGAGGTGCCCTAGCTGTACACTCAATTCATTTCATGTCATTGTTCTTTGGGATAGGAATTTCATGTCACTAGTTTAATTAACAACCAAATAAACTTAGAGAAGAGAACTGGATGCAGTGGAACTATATAAAGGAAAAGCACATATTTTAACGAAAGAACTTGTGGGTTTTCAAACCTGTGTTGAACGATAAAGAGTCATAAAACTCATATTCCACAATCCATTAGCCATGCTTTCATAAATTCCAATAGAAGCAAGCTTGTCCAGCCATTGTTTGAACCTAACACCATATGACACAGATCATTTTGACGTGATTATGCAGAACAACACATACATCCATTCTCTGGGTATCAATTTGTTGCTTGTGAGTGCATTAATCATGGAGAAACATAAGAACAGATTATGGATAAGAAATATTGCCTGCCAAGTTCTTTATGTTCTGTTCCAAAAACCCGAACAGTTCTCATCATAGAAAGTGTTTCTTGTGCAACCTACATTTAAACATAACTGTACAGTAAAGATCTTATTCAAGATGCTGATTTTGGAGTGGCAATTTAAATCAGTCCTGATTCACCTCGTTGGCATGTGCGTTGAACTCTTGAGTTAACTTTGCAGCTTTCTTTTGGTACCTATGAAACACAGCTGGCTTTAGTAACACTGGCGGATAATCAAACACAGACCCTTAACCAAAATGACTAAAATATCCCAAAGCTGTTGAAAGCAATTAATATAAAGAAATGCATATACAATATGATATATTCATTGGCTCAACCTGCTTACAACTAATTGGAAAGCTATTATACTCAATTCAAGTAAATAGGAATTTAATTTTTCCATGCAAACAGAACATTGAAAGAATAAAGTTCATATTTCAAATCTTAGGACATAAATACAAGTGCAATGAATGTGTCTTATATATATATATATATATATATAAAATAGGCATTTCAACAAATTACTACCATAACTTTTTGGTTCAGAAGAAGAATTAATTAACACCACAAATAATCAGAGGAAGAAATTCAATAAGGATTTTTCAATTTACTTTCTAATAAGAAAATTTAGATGACACATAAATTAATCAGCAAGTATCTTTTCTTTTTTTTCTTTTTTTTCTTATGATCGGATTCTCCAGATAGAAATATTTGAGCATGGAAGACAAATCTAAGACGTCTATCAAATGGGGGGAGGAGAAATACTCACTGGCCATAAACCAAAAAGACTGCAGACAGAACAGAGCATATCACCAATGCTGATAATGCGAGAGGCCAAGACAAAACCAGCAAGTTAATAAATGCACCAATCCCCTACATTATAAACAAAATGAAAGAAATAATTGTCAATCAAATTCTAAGTTGAATGACCAAAAAATGAAAAAGAAATGAGAATGGAAAGGAAAGGAAAGGAAAGGAAAGAGCAGTTTTATAAGAAAAAGAAAAGACATAAACAAAAGAAACCTGAAGAGAGTTGCGCAATATCAAATTAACATCATTTCCAATCACGTTGGACAGCTGCTGACAATCTGCTCCAAGTCTACTTGTCAGAACACCAACTGCTTCTGTCTCGAAAAAGATTATATCCTACATCAAAGGTGATGCCACCATAGAATATTAATGATGCCCAAAAAATAAATAGATGTCTAACATGCCTGAGAAATACAAATGGCATCTCAATAGTAATAAAAATCAATAAACTAACCCCCACCTGAAAAACAAGTGCTGAATACAGAGATTCCCTAAGACGCTTCACCTGAGAAATGTAGTGGGAGGCACCAATTTGATGTCACATTAAGATTTGTCCAGACAAGATTAATTCACTTGATGATGGTCAAAGTAATGAATACTATCTGGTAATTACAAAAGGTATGAATTCCACAGAAGGAAGTAGAAAAAATTGATCAACAGCAAAGAATGTTTGATCAGTCAGCAAGCAGAAATACTAATCACGTATAATTTGGGAAAAAATGTCTGATTAAATCAAATAAGATCATCAAGTCAATGAGGAAAGACCTTCACTATGTTTTGATTAAGAGATCTATCTGAATCCACCAACTATTCAATCTATTTTATCCAAAAAAATAACAAGCTATCACCACATTCACAAGTATGACGAGATGAAAACTAAATGTCTCACAGCTTCTCAAAATTCAAAAACCAACAAGAAAAAATACATACTTGAGAATAAAATGAAAACGGTTGTAAATCCTCACCAGGATCATATTTGCAATACCAAAACAGCCACTTCGTAAGCCACTGTAATTTAAAGAAAATTAGACAAAACCAATCGGGCACCTCAATCAAAAAATTTACAGATGTAGAAAATGGTAGCAGATTATATTTTGAAACTGATCCTATAGTTCCATAACATTCAGAAATCAAAGAAAACTAACTGGTTGTTGCAGCGTCTTATATCAATATATTTCACAGTTGCTACAATAATACTTTGACTATAAAAAAATTAACCTGCATATCCCCGAAGTGACACACAACATAAGCAAGAATCTCGAGCTCCTCAAGAACACCATGGTCTCCCCTCTCTGAGCAGAAAATACAGACGCTGCCAATAAACTTGGCATTGAGATTTCTGAAACCTGCAGCATAATATACTTAGACCAAATGAATGATCTTATATAAAAACAATCCAACAATTCTATATTCTAAAATTTCCTAAATGCAAGTAAATCAGAGCTGAATTTAAGCAAAAGAAACAAACCGCTGCAACAATTAAGGCAGCGACTGCAATATAGAGAAGCCACTGTTCGTGTCCAATCAAAGTCCACATTCTGCAAAGCGCAATCCGCACAGTAATTGGTTTCGAGGTTACGCTTTCGACTTGCTCAGCATCAGTTAAGTTCCACCAATTCTTGAGAAACTCTAAGAATTTTTTAACGTTCTTGTCTTCGTCTATGTTTCTGTTTGATAGTCGGTCCACAAATGCTGAATTTGAAATTTTGAACAACTGCCGCGGTTTGTTACTGAGAAATGTGGTAGGGAATTGGTGTTTGTTTCCACAACGTTGCGTTTGGGGGATGAAAATGGGGCGCGATTTGTTGAGTGCATGGAGGTTCAAGTGAGCGGTGGCCATCGGGTGTAAATTAGAGCAGGAAAGGGCTGTTTCCGTAATTTACAACCAGTAACATTTTTGGTGGGCGATTTTTATTTTGGGACTTCGTAAACAAGCCGAGGTAGAACAGATGCCATGGACGCTGTCCATCCAGTCTGCTAAACTGAACTGATTGCCTCAGGAGGTGATTCTCCTCACCCGAAAGTCCAAATCGTTGCCGACCCGATTGGCCCATTGGACCTTATTGGGCTGGCTCGTTTTATTCCCTCAGTTCGGGCTTAAAACAAATCTTATTCCCGGTTCCTTCCTCCAATCCGACGGTCTGCTCCATCATCTCTCGTCTCTACACATCTTCTCGGTCGTCTTGTCAGTCGTCGCTACTACTCAGGCAAGTGATTTTTTTTCCCTTTTGTCTTTTCTTTACATTTCGAACAATTGTGTGTTTCCACGACCTATATTTGTTATTTTTTTTTCTAATTTTAGTTTCAACTGATAAACCCAGGATTTGAGCTCTTGATCTTCAAATTAAGTGGATTCTCTGATTTGTGTTTCCATTTTCAACAATAAGCTTTTCTTGACAATTCTCCAATCTCTATCTTTAGTTTTGTATTGGATCAACTATGAAGCAAATTGGCGCCTGACTAGTGGCAACAAGCATTTCATAATATCATTGTTCTGTTCGTTCTGGATTAATCATGGCCGGCACTAAGGTTCAGAGCGAAGTTCCTAAGACGAGACAAAGGCCAATCGTGCGTCTGGGAGTCTTGCTCATCTCACACAGTCTCCTCGTCAGGTACTGATGTCACTATAACTCTCTTATTTTCACTCTTTCATTTTTCCTATTTGTCTCATTTAGTTAAACTCTTTCTTTTTTCTCTCATTTTTGTGGGTTTCAGCGTAGTTTGCTGTACGGCAGGAGTTTTGGCTCTGTTACTCTTACCTGTTCTTGCCAAAAACACCTACATTTCCGAAAACGCGCTCATGCCAGGTCACTGACTGGATTCCATCATTTGTATCTTTTTTATTTAATGGTTTTTTTTTTTTTTTTGTTAGTCATGTTTGCTGATATTGTTTTACAGGTTCTGCGAGTTCCATGCTCTCTAATCAGGAAGTTTCTGAGGCAAATAAATTGATAAAGGATATCACTAGCTTATATTCTAAACCTTCCACTGCAGCCATGTATGTCATTTGTACTTTGTTTGAGAAATTAAATTTCATTTTAACTCACTTTGCCTCACTTCTTTTTTTGACTTAATTTGCTAAACTGTTAATGGGGTTGTTTTTCTAGCTCCAAAAATTGGTTCAAATATATTTTAGGGCTGCTAGTGCTTGAATCTGAGTTTTGTAGAAAACTCCTTAACTTTTAGTTTGAAATGTTTGTGGGTGCTTGGCTTGTTTATTTAGATTTCTGTTGAAAGGTTTTTGTTTTAATCTCTGATTGTGAGGGTAGCTGTGAGTGTGATTGGAGAGTTTTAAGTGGTAGTGTGCTTGTTGAGGTAATTAGGGATTTTCTTATCCTGATGCTTCCAAAATTAGCTGGACAAATATGATGTCTTCTTTTTGTGGTAGTTCTTAAAACGCCATTATTTCTCTTAAGGGTGTGTGACTTGCCATTTAGTTAACTTCTACTCTATTGGTTTTATGTTTTATAATTTTAATGAAGCACACTAGTGAGTGGTGTGTGGTGTGCTGGTATTCATTTGAAGATTTCTGTTTGAACTGTTATCTTCATGATTTTCTTTTTGTGTTGTAAAATCATAAAAGAAAAGGCATTGATGCAATTCTGTGTTTTATATTGCTTTTTATGACAGAGAAAGTCGAAGACTCATAGCCCAGTATATGTCCAACTTGGGTGCTGAAGTTAATTATCACAAATTCCACCCTCAGCCAAACGAGTTTCATCCACTGCATTTTTTCTCTAGCCCTGATGCTGGGATGATACAGGAGAACTTTAGTTGTGCATCTTATGGTGTAAACACTGTTGGAGTAATAAGAGCTCCTCGTGGTGATGGGAAGGAAGCTATAGTCTTGATGACTCCTTATAATTCTGTCAATGGTGATTTGCAAGAGGCCTTGCCCTTGGGCATTGCATACTCAGTATTTTCCTTGCTTACCCAAGTTACTTGGCTGGCCAAAGATATTATATGGCTTGTCGCCGATTCTCAGTATGGAGAATATGCTGCTGTTGCTGCTTGGCTAAGAGATTATCACACTCCAGTCTTTAGTGATTTGAGCTCACTGAATACGGAATTGTGTCATGATGGCAGTTATATATTGGATTTGAAAGAAAACTCAAATTTAGAAAGAAAGATATCCTATGAATTTAGGCGCTCTGGGACTATGGCTGCTGCCCTGGTCTTGAAGGTTGTTTATAGAAATGAAGTCGAGGACACTCTTAGTATTTTTGCTGAGGCATCCAATGGCCAGATGCCAAACTTGGACCTGATCAACATAGTGAATTATTTAGCTGTACATAGGCAAGGTTATCATGTAAAGGTGGAGAAAGTTTGGTCTCTACTTAACTCCAAATGGCTGAAGATTTTGGGTGAAATATTTGAATCACTGGGAAAATTTGTGAAAAGCTTGAATCCTGATTGGAAATTCGGTATCCCAGTCGCAGAATATATTGAAGGCACTGCTACACTTGCAAGTTCATTATATTATCAGGTAGTTATTTCTTCAGCATTCTCTCTCTCTCTCTCTCTCTCTCTCCTCCTCATGCATGCACACACTGGGGGAGGGGGTCTTTGCTGGATATTTGTTACTTTTTGTTGCATCTAATGTTTTTGTTTGCAGTTCTCTTTGACCACTGGGTATTTGCTTATGCTTTATATATACTTTTTTCCTCTTTTAGGCAATTGGTGTTCCCACGGGTCCCCATGGTGCTTTTCGTGATTACCAAGTCGATGCAATAACTTTAGAAATTTCACCTAGAGTTTCTTTTAATAACAAGGACAGGCGCAATGACTTCCTTCTACAAGGTGGCCGGTCAGTTTTCTTTGAGACTTCTTCCCTTTTTCTCCTTTAACTTGGATTTTCTACTGTCAATGCATTCTGGTGGTATGATGATTAGAGAGTATTGGTGAAGGTTTCAATAAATGTTGCTACATGGTATTGCTTTTTACACAACATAAATTTCTATTACTAAGTTGGGTTTAAGGCACTACTGGCTCAAGTGAAAATTTCTCTTTTTCTTAAATCTCAACCTATGTGGTTCTTGGGGGCCTGGGGCTTTGGGTTTGTTTATTTCAACATAAAAAAGGCTGAATCATACCTTGTATGTTTATAATTGCTATTAACCATGTATATTTTTTTTTCTCTCTCTAATATGATTTGTTTATTTGTTGCCTTTTAATCAGGTGGTTTTTCTCTTTGGTAATTTATTTTTGTCGTCAATTTTTTTCTTACCTTGTTGGGGTTAGTTTGATAATATAATTAGTTTTTTAAAGAGAAAATATCTTTAAGCTGAGTTGTATTTTTTTTTTTTTTTGGCGGGGTAAGTATCCTCAATTCCAGAGAAATAATTAATATGATGAAATATAGCATATGATACTTCTCTTGTTTGTGTCTTACATTGCCATGATTTGGATATTTGCATCCATTTTTATCCATTAAAAGGTAGATAATTCACACATTTTTTGTCATTTTGAGCTGAAAGTTTTCCCATTGCTTGATTCAGGTTGATTGAAGGAGTTATACGATCAGTAAATAACCTCCTCGAGAAGTTTCACCAATCATTTTTCCTGTACCTCTTAACATCTCCTAGTAAGTTTGTGTCAGTTGGAGTCTACATGATCGCTTTTGCTCTCCTTGTAGCACCACTTCCTGTGGTTGCAGCATCTCTCTATGCTGAGACTCTTAATTTGATTCCTACTTCTGAGAAAGAAAAGTCTGCTGCTGATGATGAGCTTGGTAGTGTACTCAGATCATGGAAATGGCTTAATTCAGCCAAAAGAGTGTTTATAGTACACTTATGGGGTGCTATGGTGTCTTTATTTCCATATTTCATCTCCCAAATACCCAACTGCACCCCAACAACCAACTTTCACGTCTGGTTTCTGCTTTCAGTGTTCAGCCTGGTAATCTTAAAATGGATTTTGGGTTCTCCATTTTCTCAATTGTGTGGACTTCAACCTCAAGAAGAATGGGCTATCTTGAAATCAGTGACTATCTCATCTTTCTTCATTGGCTTGTGTCTCATGTCTGTCATAAATTTTGCTACTGCAGAAATTGGGGCTTTACTAATGGTCCCAACATCTCTGATGGCTCATCCTCTGAAACTTGATGTCAGAGGCGGGAGATTCCTAAGATTTTCAAGGGCAATTTGCAATCTGGTTCTTGGGGTTATCAGTTTCCCCCCAGCTACATTTTTTATATTGAAGGGTATGTTTGAAGGTTACAGTGGCATCAATGCTGGTGACTTCTGGAATTGGGTAGAGTCCCTTTGGGCATGGAACAGTGCTACTTACCTCTATATCGGTATGGTCCACCTTCCTTGCTGGGTATTATGTGTTCACGTTTTACTTCATCCTTGTTAACACGTGTTAGTCAATTTTGTCTGTACGTTAATGATTTATTAGATCTACAAATCAGAAGATCCTGGGCATTTTAATTCGATCTATATATCTTCTTATCTGACTTGCATGTTGGTATGTAGATTTGAGCCACATCTAGAGACATAGGTCTTCTCAGTTGTGTGATTTTTCGTATCTGAGGCCATACTGCACTCTTAATGTTAAATTAAGGGGCTTCCATTGGCAAAGGTTCGTTAGTGGACAGGATTACAATCAAGGCACTACATGCCTCGACTATATAATATTAGCCTTCTAAAAGATGTGTTAAAAATTATTATCAAAGCAAATGATTTAACAATCCCGGGTTGATGTAGCTAGTTGATTGAAACAAATTGTTAACGACCCCAATCATTTGATATATCTATGAGTTGGATCACTTCACTCAGAATGAGCTGTGTGTGACTTTGTAGCTTGAATTGGTACATTTAAATAGATCAATAACCTAACCAACTCAGAGCTAGAGACTGATATCTCAAATTGACTAGATTGTGGGAAGATAATTCACTGTCATGCTGAGCACGTGTGTGTGTGTGTGTGTTAGCTATATGAGTTTGCTTGCTCTTGTATAATAACATATCTGCTCC